CTCAGCTGTTGCTGTCGTCGCTGGCATGTCCGCTGCTACCGCGAAAGGCGGATTTGCTACCGCTACAGGCGCTTCCACGGACGCATCTAGGCCAAGGCTAACGTCCTCCGTAGTTAAGAAGCATGCTGGGGTGAGCCCTTCCAAATCAGCTGCTGGCCAATCCACGTCAGCTTCAGCTGACGTCGCAATGGCTGCAGACCTTGGCTCTGCTACCTCAGTTTGAAACTCAGTAGGTCCGTTCTTAGTCGCCACTGGAGAAGCAGCTTCCTCCCCCCCGCTGTTGTCACGCATGATACAGTCAGCACTGCGTCCAGAGCCCGTTTGAGCGTCGCTATTTCTTTTAATCACACTGACGGCTGCGTCTGTGCCACCCGCAGTAGCTGCAGCTCGTTCCGCCAGACCCTCCTGCCTGCTTCCACCAGCAGCCGGCTTGATATCGCTCCGACCAGCGCTTTGCTCTCGAAGCGTCAGCGCTGTAGCGTCCGCCGCTTTTTCCGGAATGTCGTCCATCATCAGAGCCTCCTCCCACCAGCTCTTCTTAGGACCGAATTCGCCTCTCTCCACGCCTGCTTTTGCTCGCTGTACCCTTGTGCGCCCATCTCCACCGCATCCAGCCTCTTCCCCATCGACCTCGCACACAGCAGGCCACGTGACCACACTGCATTCCCCTTCCGCGCCTTTCCCCGCCCCCATCCCCCACGGCCGATGCCCTTCCGACTTGGCCTTCTTTCCCACGGGTCCAAACACGCCGAATCCAAACGGATCTCCTCCAGCCTGCGCCATCCAATCATCCTCGTCCACGTCAGCAGCCATGGAATCCGCATCTCGCCAGTCATCAGCGACGGAGCTGAAGGCGCCGTTGCCGTCGGACGCGGCTCGCATCGTCGTCCTGTTCCGCGCGAGAATAGGCTCGGACGACCACGACGCGTTCGAGACAGACGGATGAACGCCGCTACCCGCCGTCTGGATTGGCTGCATTGCGGCATCCGCACCCGTACCCATAGCTGTACCGGTAGCTGTAGCGGTAGCGGCGGGCGCAAAGGAGTTGTCGCGCACATCGCGCAGCTCGCGCAGGTCAGGCGTCACCTCGGCGGCTTCACGGGCCGTCTCCATCGCGGAACGCTTCCGCGTGATGGGAACGGGGGAAGGAGTACAGGGGGAGGGCGCGCAGGCGGAAGGCGCGGAGGGGAGCTGTGGGGCTGTGACGGTACTAGGTCTCGAGGTATCATGAAGTGGTTGGGGCAATTGCTGGTTGAGGAAGGGAAGGTGCAGCAGGGGTTTGGGCTTCTGCGCGGATTTCGATACCGGCGTGCGCGCAAGAGCGGCGGTGGGCGGTGCACCAAGCGGAAAGGGTGAATCAGCCGGAGTCGGGGTAGCAGCGGGCGCTGTTGTAGTGATAGTGATTGCGGGGATGGACGGGACTGGGGCGCGGGAGACGGGGAGTGCGGGGAAGGAGGGCGCGGGGCTTGGCTGGATGATGGCAGCACGGGGGAGCATGAGGGGGGAGAAGACAGAGTTCTGCTGAGGGGCAGACTGGGGCGTACGCGGCACTGGCGTGGATTGCGGCTGCGAATGAAACTGCTGGACACGCGGCTGAACCTGCATCTGCTGCTGCTGCTGCACCTGTTGCTGCTGCTGCACCTGCGGCGACTGCTGCGGCTGAGCTTGTGCCGTCGCTTGGGTGACCGAGTGGGTCTGTTGATTGGACGCGGAAAGCGGGGCGGAGAGCCGAGGCTCCTTGGGAAAATTCAGCTGCGCCTTTGGTCCGCGGATCTCCCGCGCAGCCTCGTCGTACGCGCGAGCCGCCTCCTCGGGAGTGTCGAACGTCCCCAGCCACACTCGCCCGCGCCCGCCAGCGTCGCGGATCTCCGCCGCCCACCGACCCCACGGCCGGTACCGAACGCCGCGATACGGCGCAGGTTGAGCGTTCCTCCCCTCACTCGCGTTCTGCCCGCCACTCGCGTTGCTTCCACCTCCACTCGCGTTCGGTCCACTGCTGTTACCCCGAGCGCCAGCAGCGGATAGTCCTCCGCCGCTGCTGGCGCTGCGACCGACTGCCATCTGGTGCTGCTGCGGCTTGCTCCGCTCCGAAAACGGCGCGCGGCTTCGCACAGGGCTGATTGGGTGCGACCTGCTGCCTGAAACGGTCGACGGGGTGGGATTGGACGGAATGGTGACGGTCTGACCCTGGTGTACGGAAAGCATTTGACGGATGGCCTCCTGAACCTTGCCGGCGATAAGAAACTGCTGGCTGGGAGTTGGCGGCGACGTCAGTGTAACCGGCGGAACGGCTGTCTTTGCGATAGGGGCAGAAACCGTCGCCATGCTTCCGGGGGATGTAGCCTTAGGAGACTCGCTAGACCGTCCGCTAGCGTCCATCTGCCTGGCTGGTTCGATCACGCAGCTGCAGTTGACACAACGAGTGCATACTGGCGTTGTCGCAACGCTGCTATCTACTGCTAAGGGCTGAGGAGGCGTGTCGTGATCGGATGAGGGGTTGCTCGACTGGAGCCACTGATCGAACTCGTCGGCCATTTCTTCAAGAATCGTCTCATGATCGCATGAGCTCATTCCCAGCTGCTAGACTATCGTGCCCTAGCTTGCTTTGCTGGTTTTGGGATGAAATGGGGGATTTCGGTTTGTTTTGCGAATGATGTTTGAGAGGCAAATGGGCAGCTTTTCTTGCTAAAAAACAAGTGGGAAAATGTTGTCGGTGGCGTGTTGAAATTGGCCATTCATCACCTTCCTAGCACCCAGCCCCCCATCAGTGACAACGGATACGGGGAAGCTGGGGGACGGAATCGGTGCGTTTGCGGCGGACATTTGGAGGCGTTTGAGAGGCAGGATGTGGGGCGGGGGGGAAGGGGAGATGGGCGGGAAGGGGGAAGCAGGCTTTCCGCGTAGGCGAGGTGCTTCTGCCTGGGCGTGTGGGCGGAATTAACGAGAGGTGGACGGACACGGCGGTGGGCTGACGCGGCGGAAGGCAGTTTCGCGAAAACTCGGCTGGCATAATCAGCCTGTTGTCGACGGTGGATATTGCTTTGTCAACGAAGGCAGACTCATCCAGCGGTAAACCGGTAACGTAGCGCGTTATCCTGTTACAAGTGCACTGCTAGCGAAACTAAACGAGGGCGCCACGGCAAAGCGGCTTTGCGACGCGTCGCCGGCAAATTGACCACAGTCAGCGCATCGATTGCTTTCTCGATTTGGATTCAGCTGTCCAATCAACTCCCTACCCCTTGCTTGCCGGACACTCACCAAGATGTTGATTGTGGATTTTGGCCACGGCCGGCCGAAAACAGAGGCGAACTGACTGAACGTCCAGTTTACGGCCACGCGTCACAAATTCGTAGGATGAAGTCTACCCGGGCGTTACTAAACTGGTACAATGTGACGAATTTTGCCGGTTTAGCCGGCCATAAATTCTGAAAATAATGATGGCCTGCCCGTGTCGCTGACCCAGATTGGAAACGCCAAGCCGTGGTCTCGTCGGGACAGGTCAAGCTGGCTGAGCCAAGGTCCAAGGTTCGTCCACGTTGACATGTGGACCTGATCAAGGTGTAACGGCGCGACTTCAACCCGTCCGCCGTCGCCTCGCATCTACACCTGGACTTTGAAAAACGCGTGAATGAAGCTCTCATTTTGTGATTATCATGATTAGTAGTACCGTATAAGAAATTCAATACAGAACTTCAAACATTTTAGAGGTGTTTGAATCAGGAATTCGCACTGGTACAGAGAGACCGAGGGTTTGCATACAGCAAAGTCTGTAAGATGGATACCTTCAAAATCCCCTGCAAATTCTGAGGTTGATGAGAGGGCCTAAGGGAGCAAGAATCACTACGCAAACAACTACTGCACGAAAGGTAGGCGTGCCAGCCAATAAACTAGTGCAATGCGATTGCACAGCAAATCATAGTAGCATGTAATTTTGTAGTCACAGTATCAGTGCCCGGGCACGGGGAGAAGGGACTCAAACAGATGGGGTTAGCACAGGGTTAGTCTTGCCAGCAGTGCAGTCACTGCACCATAACCACCAGCACCTGTGAGTGCTGCTGTTGCTGCTGCTAATGCTCCTACTGCCTGCTGTATCAAAGCCAGTTGCAAGCAGTTGCTGCGAATCATGCCTTCTTGATGCCTGCAGGCCTGCAGTTCACGAGTTGCACTTGTTCTTCTGACAAAAGTGACCTGCTGCATGCCTCATAGCCGAGCTCCGCTTCTTGCCGCTATCCTCCTTGTACTCCTCCAACCTTCCTTTAAACCCCCCAATCCTCCTTCAGACCTCCAAACCTCCTCAGATCTCCGGGTCCCAGTCCCCACTACCGTCCCACTCCTGCAGCTCGACTATACGAATTCGCACAAGGTTCAGCTCATATTTTGATTTCAAAAACCCTTGGATACTGCTCCAGGTTTCCAGTCTTGGTATAGAAGCGCACTACTGCGTCAAATCCCAACCCTGCTTCTACATCCCAACCCTGCTTCAGCTTCCAGCCCTGCTTCAGACTCCCAACCCTGCTTCGGATCCCCAACCCTGCTTCGGATCCCCAACCCTGCTTCGGATCCCCAACCCTGCTTCGGACTCCCAACCCTGCTTCGGATTCCCAACCCTGCTTCGGATTCCCATCCCTGCTTCGGATCCCCAACCCTGCTTCGGATCCCCAACCCTGCTTCAGCTTCCCAACCCTGCAACAATTTCCAAACCCGTTTCAGACTAACTAGCTCCACGGAATGCAGCGGCGGCGCAGCAGGAGTTCGGACATGCGCACATACGGGCACGGCGCCGCAGCTGCTGCAGCAGCTACTGCCATTCGTGTGGGCGCAGTGCAGTGCAGCAGCACAAAGCCCACTCTACGGACTGCAGCGGCCGCGCAGCAGGTGTTCAGACATTCGCCCATACGAGTAGGGCGCCGCTGCAGCTGCGGATGCTGAAGCTGCGGATGCTGAAGCTCGGCCACGATCAGACGTCTGTATGGGCGCAGCGCAGCAGGGCCAAGTGCACTCTACGGACTGCAGCGGCGCCGGAGCAGCCGTTCGGACATGCGCACATATGAGTACGGCGCCGCTGCTGCTGCTGCTGCTGCTGCTGAAGCTCGTCCACGGTCAGACGTCCGTGTGGGCGCCGCAGGGCGAAGTGCACTCGCTCTCCGACTGCCCGCCGAGCGAGAGGAGCGCGCTGCAGCAGGGGAGGGCCATGGGAGGGAAATGAAGAGGGGGGGAGGGGGGAAGGTGAGACAAGGAGCAACAGCAGCAGCAGCAGCAGCAGCAGCAGCAGCAGCAGCAGCAGCAGCAGCAGCAGCAGCAGCAGCAGCAGCAGCAGCAGCAGCAGCAGCAGCAGCAGCAGCAGCAGCAGCAGAAGCTGCTATTGATGATGTTGCTCGCCCGCAGTCGGACGTCCGTGTGGGCGCAGCGCAGCAGGGCGAAGAGCACGTGCTCTCCGACTGCCCTTCGAACTCGGAGAGCGAGAGCAAGAGGAGCACGAGGTGGCAGGGGAGGGCGATGGGAGGGAAAACGACGGGGAGGGAAAACGATGGGGAGGGAAAGATGGGGAAGGAAATATGAGGAGAAAATGTGGGGGGAGGAGGGGGGCGGGAGGTGAGGAGGGAACAGCGAGGGGGGAAAAATGAGGTGGGAAAGATGAGGAGGTAAGTGAGGAGGGAAAGATGAGAGGGGGGAGATGAGGAGGGAAAAGGTGAGGGGGGAAAGAAGAGGAGGGAGAGATGAGGAGAGAGATGATGAGAAACCCTACAGAGGGGCACAATGAAGATAAGGCACGACAGAATCAAGTGCTGGCTCACTCAGTAGACAAGACCAGCGGGTTGAATCAAAACACCAGGAATGAGCAGGGCACCGACCTCAGCTGGTTTTTGAGAATTCTCAAAAACCAGCTAAAGACAGGCGGGTTGAATCGAAACACCAGGAATGAGCAGAGCGCCGACCTCGGCGTGCAAGGAAACAAGCTACGTATGGATAGAATCCCTGGCCTGGCCTGGACACAAGTTCTCCTAACCTCAGGAGACGACATCCCATAATCACCTGCATTTGGAAAGTCTCAGAAGTCCTTAGCAACCCCGCAGTGCACAGATGTACTAAAAGATTAAGAACGAAATAGTACACAGGAGTGGTACATAGGAATCACCTCGCGCCATGCAGCTGACCCTCGTTTTCCCGCCCCCTGTTTCCCCCTTTTTCCCCCGCCCACCCAACCCATCCCCCCCTCCCCCTTCTTTCAAGTCCGCATGCCCTCACCTCGCAGCCACGAGTCAATCTCGCCTCGGCGCTCCACGTCCGTTGAGAATTAACGACATAGTGATAAACCACCCCATGGCCACCGCCCCAAGCTCACCTCGCGACCACGAGTCAATCTCTGCTCGGTGCTCCACGTCCGTCCACTTGGCCTCGTGTCCAAAGGGCGGTCGCGCCCTGCACTCAATTGGAGAACGGGTGACGAAAGATTGGGCAGGAGATTTTGGGCGAGCAGAGATTGGGCAAGGAGAGATTGGGCGAGGAGAGATTCGGCGAGGAGAGATTGGGCGGGGAGAGATTGGGCGGGGAGAGATTGGGCGGGGAGAGATTGGGCGGGGAGAGATTGGGCGGGGAGAGATTGGGCGAGGAGAGATTGGGCGAGGAGAGATTGGGCGGGGAGAAAGGTTCCGACGGGATTGGATGATAAGAGATTCCTAAATCTGAATTTAGAGCAATGTCCTTAGAAGCACTGCGCCGTAGAGAAACGGGCCCAGCCTTTGGAGAACAAAAATGCATGCGAGGAAATCTCAGGCACAAATGCCTCTGCATTCACCAAGGAGTTGCCAAACACCCAGATCTGGATATTTCCCTAAATATAAGAAAAAACATGAAGAGAGAGATGAAGATTCCAAACTCCGGAAATTTTCAGGTTCAGACCCTGTCACCATTGACTAACGACTGGCCTAAACCCATGGCCTTCAATTGACCGATTAACTCGGCATCCCAACTCACCCATCATCATCGTCGTATCGTCGATTGCACTCCCGAGCCTCCTCATCCCCGCTAGCGCCAGCTCCGTTAAAGACACAAGGCGGGCCCGCCCACTCCGGTACGCTAGCCTGGAACATGGGCCCTACGCGCGTGTAGCCAACCGGAGACAGCCACGTGCGCTGCAGCAGCCAATGGCCTTTGTGGTCTGCCACGCTGTCATCCCCGTCGTCCCCGTCTCTCCCCCCGCTTCCTCCGCTGCCTCGCTTCTCGAAATTCTGCAACCATGGCTCCTCGTTATTGGCCTTTCCTTTACCGTTCGTTTTCGCACCGCTACCACCGCTTCCGCCGCTGCCACGCTTCTCTCCTCCCCTTCTAACGCCGACCCGCGACTCCGTATCCCCACGTGGCACTAGAACCACGTCGTCACCTCCAGATACACCGGGTTGCACGGGTGCCACGTCCGCTTCCAACAAAACCACGTCATCATCCCCATCCTCGATCAACTGCTGCTCGTCATTCAACGGTGTCCTGACGTCCACGTCAGCTGAATGCGCGTCGTTTACCCGGTCGCAATCTAGCCGCTTATGTGCCGGCTGCTCGACCGCTGTCCGTCTATTCTTCGCGCACTCCTCAGCCCACACGACGACGACCGTCGCTTTCCGCTTCTCCTCCAATTCGCACAGATCGCACACCCACTCGCCGTCCTTGTCCACGTGGACCTCCTCTCCGCGCGACGCAAGACAGCGAATGTGGTAACCCGCAAAACACAAATCGCACAGTACCGTGCTTTCGTTCTCGTCCTCGCCGCAAACCAAGCACGGCGAAGCTGCGGCAGATCCATCGCCAACCCTACCCGGATGTGCGGCAGGGGGTGGCCCTTGAACAGCCCCATCCTCTTCTGTAAACCGCTGGATTTGACACGTGGCGAGTTCCCGTGGACTATCAAAAGTAGGCTCACGTGGCGGTAGGGTCTCGAAGGCGTCGGCGACAGGGACTAGAGCCACCGGAAGCGTCGTGCACATCGCCGGAACGTCGCAAGCCGGCTCCTTGTAGTCGCGATGCGCGTCGAGAAAAGGCCGGGAAAAGCGCTGTTCGCAAAGCATCGTTCCCAATCCAATGTACGCAGACCGTTTGCTTCGGATACAAGAGCAGCAGATTCCAAATCTCAGCTTGGACTAGGCACGAAGGGTCCAATTAATCTCCAAAAAGCCTTGGACTTAGCCAAGCGGCCACAAAAACGTGCGGATCACGCCAAATTTGGCGGATTGCGCAGAGTCGCAGGGTTGCGGAAGGAGGCGCACAACGCGGAACGAGGTAAGAGAAAAAGAGTAGGAACCTAGAAGAGAGGCAGAGCAAAAAATTACAAGATTCTGAAAGGCTGCTTGGCAATCCACTCTTGCTCAACCTTGTTTGTGAGTTCCCATCCCACACCACCGACCGAGAGATTACTGTACGGACCAGGTTCCCCCTGTGGTGCTAGAATCGACGCGAGGGAGAGGGAGGAGAGTCCGAGATAGGGAATCGAGCAGGGGTTTCATCCACAGCACTCACGCGATTCGCGAAGCCGCATTTCGCGAAACGGCGTCTGCGAAGCCTCGCCGATGTCTGACGTTACGCGCCACTGACACGAGCGGTGCAGTGGCACAGCGACACGTGTCAGACGTTACACATTCTTGGGTCACGCAGCTTCGAGTATTGTTTCGCGACCGCAATGTCTTCCCACCGCGGCAGCGGCCAAAAATGGTTTTCGTTTCAAACAACCCCTTTATTCTTCAGGAGAAGACGCATTAAAACAAGCCCCTAAAACTCGAAAGAAGGGGAGGGGGCTTTTGGATATTGCCAGTCAGCGCCTACTCCTCTTCAGCCCAGAAACGCGAACCCTAATTCTTGGCCTAGAAGCTTCAGACCAACAGTGCCTTGCGAAGTGTAGCATTTATAGCAGTACGCGTTAGCGTTGTTAGTGGATGAACGAGAAAGTCGAAGCGAAGTCCTGAACATACTGGTTACCTCGAGACCCACGCGCTTGGTAGGCGCGGATGGCGGAACAAGCAGGTGACGCGAATCCCGGCAATATTCCCGCAGACGTAGACGGCTGCCAGCTGGCCACTTCTGGCGGCAATCCGTCAACGGCACCCAACCAGTCTAACGGTTTTCCGATGGAAGAGCCAGCAGACGGGCAAGGAGACGCGGACGTGAAACCTGCGAGTCGGGAGCCACGTGTCGTTCGGGAAATTGACGTTTTCCTGATGCCACGTGTTGACGATCAAACCAAGGCATGTGTTGAAGTTCGATTTTTCCGTGAGCGACCATCGACAACTTCACTACGTGTTTTCTATTCTCAGACCACCCGCGCTTGGTCCAGGCGTCCCCCGTCCGGTTCTGGCACAACCCACCCACTGTCATATCATCTGAGACTTGCCCTAGTCGTTTCCTCGTGAAACGACCATGCTCGTGCCTTTCCGAGCATGCTCATGCTCATGCTCATGCTCATGCTCATGCTCATGCTCATGCTCACCTCTCCGTCTTGCCTCTCTTTGCCTGACTCCACACCATCCCCCATGCCTGCGCCGTCACCACTCCCACTCCATGCCCGCACCATCCACCCACTCCCATGCCCGCACCATCCACCCACTCCCATGCCCGCACCATCCACCCACTCCCATGCCCGCACCATCCACCCACTCCCATGCCCGCACCATCCACCCACTCCCATGCCCGCACCATCCACCCACTCCCATGCCCGCACCATCCACCCACTCCCATGCCCGCACCATCCACCCACTCCCATGCCCGCACCATCCACCCACTCCCATGCCCGCACCATCCACCCACTCCCATGCCCGCACCATCCACCCACTCCCATGCCCGCACCATCCACCCACTCCCATGCCCGCACCATCCACCCACTCCCATGCCCGCACCATCCACCCACTCCCATGCCCGCACCATCCACCCACTCCCATGCCCGCACCATCCACCCACTCCCATGCCCGCACCATCCACCCACTCCCATGCCCGCACCATCCACCCACTCCCATGCCCGCACCATCCACCCACTCCCATGCCCGCACCATCCACCCACTCCCATGCCCGCACCATCCACCCACTCCCATGCCCGCACCATCCACCCACTCCCATGCCCGCACCATCCACCCACTCCCATGCCCGCACCATCCACCCACTCCCATGCCCGCACCATCCACCCACTCCCATGCCCGCACCATCCACCCACTCCCATGCCCGCACCATCCACCCACTCCCATGCCCGCACCATCCACCCACTCCCATGCCCGCACCATCCACCCACTCCCATGCCCGCACCATCCACCCACTCCCATGCCCGCACCATCCACCCACTCCCATGCCCGCACCATCCACCCACTCCCATGCCCGCACCATCCACCCACTCCCATGCCCGCACCATCCACCCACTCCCATGCCCGCACCATCCACCCACTCCCATGCCCGCACCATCCACCCACTCCCATGCCCGCACCATCCACCCACTCCCATGCCCGCACCATCCACCCACTCCCATGCCCGCACCATCCACCCACTCCCATGCCCGCACCATCCACCCACTCCCATGCCCGCACCATCCACCCACTCCCATGCCCGCACCATCCACCCACTCCCATGCCCGCACCATCCACCCACTCCCATGCCCGCACCATCCACCCACTCCCATGCCCGCACCATCCACCCACTCCATGCCCGCACCATCCACCCACTCCCATGCCCGCACCATCCACCCACTCCCATGCCCGCACCATCCACCCACTCCCATGCCCGCACCATCCACCCACTCCCATGCCCGCACCATCCACCCACTCCCATGCCCGCACCATCCACCCACTCCCATGCCCGCACCATCCACCCACTCCCATGCCCGCACCATCCACCCACTCCCATGCCCGCACCATCCACCCACTCCCATGCCCGCACCATCCACCCACTCCCATGCCCGCACCATCCACCCACTCCCATGCCCGCACCATCCACCCACTCCCATGCCCGCACCATCCACCCACTCCCATGCCCGCACCATCCACCCACTCCCATGCCCGCACCATCCACCCACTCCCATGCCCGCACCATCCACCCACTCCCATGCCCGCACCATCCACCCACTCCCATGCCCGCACCATCCACCCACTCCCATGCCCGCACCATCCACCCACTCCCATGCCCGCACCATCCACCCACTCCCATGCCCGCACCATCCACCCACTCCCATGCCCGCACCATCCACCCACTCCCATGCCCGCACCATCCACCCACTCCCATGCCCGCACCATCCACCCACTCCCATGCCCGCACCATCCACCCACTCCCATGCCCGCACCATCCACCCACTCCCATGCCCGCACCATCCACCCACTCCCATGCCCGCACCATCCACCCACTCCCATGCCCGCACCATCCACCCACTCCCATGCCCGCACCATCCACCCACTCCCATGCCCGCACCATCCACCCACTCCCATGCCCGCACCATCCACCCACTCCCATGCCCGCACCATCCACCCACTCCCATGCCCGCACCATCCACCCACTCCCATGCCCGCACCATCCACCCACTCCCATGCCCGCACCATCCACCCACTCCCATGCCCGCACCATCCACCCACCCACCCCCATGCCCGCACCATCCACCCACTCCCATGCCCGCACCATCCACCCACTCCCATGCCCGCACCATCCACCCACTCCCATGCCCGCACCATCCACCCACTCCCATGCCCGCACCATCCACCCACTCCCATGCCCGCACCATCCACCCACTCCCATGCCCGCACCATCCACCCACTCCCATGCCCGCACCATCCACCCACTCCCATGCCCGCACCATCCACCCACTCCCATGCCCGCACCATCCACCCACTCCCATGCCCGCACCATCCACCCACTCCCATGCCCGCACCATCCACCCACTCCCATGCCCGCACCATCCACCCACTCCCATGCCCGCACCATCCACCCACTCCCATGCCCGCACCATCCACCCACTCCCATGCCCGCACCATCCACCCACTCCCATGCCCGCACCATCCACCCACTCCCATGCCCGCACCATCCACCCACTCCCATGCCCGCACCATCCACCCACTCCCATGCCCGCACCATCCACCCACTCCCATGCCCGCACCATCCACCCACTCCCATGCCCGCACCATCCACCCACTCCCATGCCCGCACCATCCACCCACTCCCATGCCCGCACCATCCACCCACTCCCATGCCCGCACCATCCACCCACTCCCATGCCCGCACCATCCACCCACTCCCATGCCCGCACCATGCCCCATGCCTGCACCATGCCCCATGCCCGCACCATGCCCCATGCTCCATGCCCGCACCATGCCCCATGCCCGGACCATGCCCCATGCCCGATGCCCTATGCGCCATGCCCCATGACCCATGCCCTCTGCCCCACGCCCCAGCGCAGCTATACCTGTTCCAGTACCCCCTGCGGCCTGCCTGGCGCCCCTACGGACTGGAGGAGCGGTGCCAGGAGGTGAGGATGGGTGATAGATGAGTGGTGGGAGGAGATGAGTGGTGGGAGGAGATGAGTGGTGGGAGGAGATGAGTGGTGGGAGGAGATGAGTGGTGGGAGGAGATGGGTGGTGGGAGGAGATGAGTGGTGGGAGGAGATGAGTGGTGGGAGGAGATGAGTGGTGGGAGGAGAGGTGTCAGGAGGTGACATGAGTGACGGATGGGATGTTATTGATTTGTTTAGGCGTGCCAAATGCGTGTGAAGTGAATCTCAAGGCATGTCTAATGCATGCGAATTCATGTCAAAACACATGGCGAATCCACTCCAAATGCATGTGGTGTGGATGGATTGCAGTGCATGTCCAATGCATTCAAATGCATGGCAATGGCATGCATGTTGCATTGTGTGTGTGTAAGCACTCGCCTCAATAATCGTCTCAGTTCGCGCGGCTCTTATCTGTTTCGTGTGTAAGGACTCACGTATGTACAGAACGCATTCTCATACGTTTCTTTCTATGTTACATTTGCATTCCTTCTTTCTTGTGATTGATGCGGGTGTGGCATGGCATGGCAGATCCGGGTGCGGCCGTTGCAATCACGCGTGGAGGTGGATCTAGCCATCGATACCACCGACTCCTCCTATGACCACGACTCGGCAGACAACCTCAAGCAAACCACCCAGGCACGTGTTGTTCACGCGTTGACTGACACAAGCAGACCACTCAGGTGGTGTCCATGTCATGGGTGCAATCACGGGTGGAGGTGGGTCTAGCCATCGATACCACCGACTCCTCTTATAATCACGAGTCTGCAGACAATCTCAAGCAGACCATGCAGGTGCTGTTTATCCTGTGACTAGAAAAAAATGACCATATTCATCTTGCCGTACGGTCATAGACAAAAGCAATTCCTCTTACAATCATGTCTCAGCATGAAGTTACAGACATAAGCAGGTTTTGTTCATTCTGTAACCAACAAATAGGTTTATGGAACCAGGTGACTTTTGAGTCGACTCAAAGGTCATCACCTCGTTAGAACGACATAAGCAGGAAACTTCACGCTGGTTTTGTTCAAGGATCAAGGTTCATCGTGGAGTAGCTGCAAACCTGTAGAAATCACTTAAGCAATAGGAAACTTCACGCGGATTTGTTCATACTGTAACCAACATATAGCTTTATGGAACCCAGCTGCGACTGTATTTATGGAGAGTTGGCAAACACCGCATGACATGCTCCTTCCCACCCCTCTTTCATGTCGTCCTCCTCCTCCATCGCTCCACCTCGCTCTACCTTCAAAGCGTCTCAAAACCCAATCATTTCTCCGCTCCCTCACTTTCTCCCTTGCTCCCCCATCACTCTATCCTCTTTCCTGCCAGACGCTCACCTCGTCTCAGCTGCATCTGGCCACCAACTATGCTGTGGGCATGCTGCAAGGCGACCAGGTGTGTGCATCACTCGCTTGCTTGCTTGCTTTCCTTCTTTATTTCTTTTGCTTATGAACCTGCCCTTCTTATGAGCATGCTGCCGGCATGCTGCAAGACGACCAGGTGTGTGCCTTGTCTGCTGGCTGGCTGGCTGGCAGGCAGGCAGGCTTGCGTGCTAGCCTGGTTGCAAACGTCCATGCTCAAATGCTTGTTCTTTTTCTTGCCTTGCACTGTGCCCTGCTAGTGACTCTCACTCGCTGCTATCTCTCTCTCTCTCTCTCTCTCTCTCTCTCTCTCTCTCTCTCTCTCTCTCTCTCTCTCTCTCTCTCTCTCTCGCGCCATGCCGATCCAATCTGGCTGCCTATAAACCATGCAACAAGGCATTCAAAATAGCAGAAAGAGGTGCGTCCCTTGTTGGGCTGCCCCGTACATGCCTGCTCTACCCCTCCCTCTTTCTTCCCCCCACAGCTACATCTGAATCCGATACACGCAGTGGTGCAGCTGTGGCTGCCACTAGCTTACCTTGACCATCGCAAGGGGGGGATCGCTTACCTTACCTGTGTCTGTTTCTCCCGCCCTCTTTACCTTCCCTATGTTGGAAAAGTCGCGCCCAGCGCACTATATGCAAGCGTATATACGCTTGCGTATAGTGCGTTATGCGCTTCGTGAGTGACTTTGAAAGTCGCAGAAAGTACGTTGCCTGGGCAGCAAAAGGTTTTTACCGGGCAGACGAAAAAAACCGCCGAAGGAGGGGGGGGGGAGTGGTGGTTTTACCGAATTTCATATATTGAAAAAACCCACCATTCTCAACTACTCTAAGCAAGCAACATGCATCTCTCCTACCCCACCCCCTACTCCCACCCTCTACTCCCCCCGTCCCTTCCTTCCTCCTCTACTTGTACTCATCCTCCAGCTCATCCTCCTCCCCCTCCTCATCCTCCTCCAGAACCTCGTTGTACCCTTCCGGCAGGGAGGCCTCAGGGATGTTCCCCGGGAGAACCGTCACCCACTCAGCCCCCTTGTGCCAGTTGCGCACAATGTTCCAATTGTGCGCAACATACACGAGGTCCCGACACTTCTCGGACCCCAACCTGTTGCGCTTGGCAGTGTGGATCGATTCCCACACTGCCCAGTTCCTCTCACACGCCGATGCGGACACTGGCTGAGAGAGAACGCGACAAGCGAGCGTTGTCAGCTCGGGGTGCTCCGTCCCGTGCCACGTCCACCACTGGACGGCCGTCTTCTTACCGGCCTTCACGAGCTCACGGTCAGAGATGGCGTCGGGTAGGCCGAAGCTCCCCTGAAGGGTGTTGAATGCCGTCAGGCCGTCCTGGATGACGTGGGATGCGCGCAGCTCCTCGCCATCCTTGCGCGTGACGGTCCGCCCTGCGTAGTGACGAGCGACAAACGCTTTGAAGACGCGAGTACACTCCAGGTCGGTGCGGAAGATGCCTTCCTCTTGGTTGATCGGGTTGAGGATCCGGCCAACCACGTGCATGGCACACGCCATGCTATGGTCCCAGCGCTTTTGGACGATGTTGGTCACCTCCGTGCGTTCACTGCTGGACAGCACCAATCCCGCCTCCTCCTCCTCCAGCTTCGCATTGATGTCTTCCGTGAGCTGCAGCATCAGATCGTACATCCTGCCCATCATGCCCTTGGCCCCCTACGAACTTAAGCTTGCAGTGCCGGCATATGCGGAGAGTACGCTCAGGACCATTCGAGGTACCTTCGGTAGAGGTAAGGAAATGCTTAAAAATAACATGGGTGTTCACAGGAACATCCTCGTCGTCCGCCATGGTCGCGTCATTCGAAACACTAGGAGCCTCACTAGTGGCACTTGCGGGAGTACCAGAAGGAGTCGACATCAAGTGCAGGTGAGCGGGAGTGTTGAGAGAGAATGAACGAGAGAGATAATACAGATGACGGGAATGAGAGCTTACCTTATAGTCCAGGATGTGGTTGAACCACCTACGCTGGTTGACGACATTCGTGTTTGTGTGTTGGAGTCGCGCGATAGCATAGGGTGCAGTGCGGTTCAAATTCTCCCACGTCCCCACATTTTGACAGGTGTGGGTGACAATGTGGTTGGGACGTGCGTACAAATTGGGGTGGGACGTGCGTACATTTTGAGTCGCGTCGCACATTCGCAATTCGTGCGCGACTGTTGAAATCTGTTTTTTTTTCGGGTCAGCCCGAACTTTCGCCAACGAATATACGTACGACTTGCGTACACCGTATATTCGTAAACGACTATACGGAGTGCGCTTATGGTTTCTGGCGACTTTTCCAACATAGTACCTTCCTCTTCCCCCCACCCACCCGCTGATTCCCCCCCACAGCCAAACCTGAATCCCCTGCATGCGGTGGTGCAGCTTTTGAGACGTCTCAAAAGTCGCTGATTCCCCCCCACAGCCAAGTCTGAATTCCCTGCATTCGGTGGTGCAGCTGCGGCCGTCCTGGATTAGATTACTTGGACAGTGCAGCAGACAAGGCGGAGGGGGGGACGCACTCACTTGTGCCTACTCCCTCCTTCCTCTTGCCCACCCCCCCACCCCGCTGCTCCCCCCCCCTCCCCCTTCCCTGACTCCAACCCCAGCTTCACTTGAATCCTCTGCATGCAGTGGTGCAGCTACGGCCGTCACTGGATTACCTGGACAGTGCAGCAGACAAGGCGGAGGGGGGGATATTGATCTGTGTCTGCTCCCGCTTGCTTCTGTTTTCTCTTCCCTGCTCTTACCCCCCCCCTCCACCCCCCTTCCCCACAGCTTCATCTGAACCCTTTGCATGCAGTGGTGCAGTTACGGCCGTCACTAGATTACCTGGACAGTGCAGCAACAGACAAGGCAGAGGGGGAAATACTGATCTGTGTCTGCTCCCCAAGGTGACTTTTGAGTCGACTCAAAAGTCACCTTGGAATACTGATATGTGTCTGCTCCCCATTTCCACTCTCTTCTCCCCCCCGCTCGTATCTTCCTTCCCCGCCCCTCTTCCCCCTCCCTCTCCCTCTCCCTCTCCCCCCACAGCTTCATCTGAATCCGTTACATGCAGTGGTGCAGCTGCGGCCGTCACTATAGTACTTGGACAGTGCAGTGCAGCAGAGAAGGCGGAAGAAGGGAATCACTGACTTGTGTGTCCGCTTTCCCCTTCCTCTTTCCCTTTCCCCGCACCCACCCACATATCTGCACCCCCCAGCTTCATCTGAACCCGTTGCATGCAGTGGTGCAGCTACGGCCGTCTTTAGATTACTTGGACAGTGCAGCAGACAAGGCGGAGGGGGGTCGTGGCTGACTTGTGTCTGCTCTTTTCGTCCTCTTGCTCCCCCCCATCTGCTCTTATCCCCTTCCCCCTTTTCCACAGCTCCATCTGAATCCCCTGCATGCAGTGGTGCAGCTACGGCCGTCTTTAGATTACTTGGACAGTGCAGCAGACAAGGCGGAGGGGGGTAAGGGCAAGAAGAAGGGGGCAGGGGAGGCGGCGGAGGAGGAGGAGATGGGGGATGGGGAGGATGGGGAGGCGGGGCCTGTGGCTCTGGAGGTAAGAGAATGGGTTGAAGGTGGTTGAAAGGTGGTCAAGGATGGTTAAAAGGGTGTGAGTAGTGACGAGGGATAAAAGGGAGATGGATATGGGATTAAAGGGGGATGAGGAATACGTGTGAAAGGGTGAATAGGCGAGGCAGTGACGGGGTTAGTGTGTGGGTTAGGGGAAGAGCAGTGGAGGAGAGGGGAGGAGGGGATGATCGATGTGTGTCGTCGATTCAAAGTCATCCTTGCTGTGTGCTTGCATCGTTGCCCCAAGGCACCCAATTCCATAAACCCGTGCCATGTTGGTGCGAGTTTTGAGAATTCTCAAAAGGGCGGGCACTGCCTGAATGCACGTATCGTATCGTATCGTATCGTATCGTATCGTATCGTATCGTATGCTGTGTTGAGTTGAATTTGAACCACACCGTGCAGTCCAGGTGAGCTTGAAGAAGAGGAGACAGAGGAGCAGGAGGAGATGCGCCGGCAGTCGTGCTTCAAGGCGCCTCCCAGCTAAGGATGCACACCGTATGCATGCTGTTTTGAAACCCCACTGTAACCTGACCCCCGCCCACCTGCAGGTGAGCTTGAAGAAGAGGGAAACAGAGGAGCAGGAGGAGATGCGGCTGCAGTCATATGCGCACATCCATGCCCTGCGCGAGAAGGAGGTCAGTGGAGTTTCTGCCATTGTATCCGTATTTGCATGTGTACTTGTATTTGTATTTGTATTTGTATTTGTATTTGTTGTATTTGTATTTGTATTTGTATCCATATTTGTATCCGTTTTTGCACCTGTATTCCTATTCATATTTTTATTTGTATTCGTATTTGGTTGTATTTGTATTTGTATTTGTATTTGTATTCGTATCTGTATTCGTATTCGTATTTGTACTTGTATTTGTATTGATGTTCGTATTCGTGCTCGCATCTATGGCTGTACACGTGAATCACTGCCATGCAAGTTTGAGTGAGAGGCATTTGCTGCCCACACACACCCCCCTCTGCTGCCGAAACAGCATTCCGCATTCCGTATCTCTCCCCATTCCGCTCCCCGTATCTCACCTTATTTCTCTCCCCATTCCTGCCCCCATTCTTTTCCACATTCCTCTTCCCATACCTCTTAGTATTCGTCTCCTCATGCCTTTCTCCATATCTCCCATCCATCCCATACCCCCCACACCTCTCATTATTCGTCTCCTCATGCCTCTCCCATCCATCCCGTACCTCCCATGCCTCTTCTCTTCCCCTTTCCAGCCGTGGCAGCAGCTGCAGGCCTTCTCAGCGTCGAGCCACGAGGCAGCAGCAGCGCTTCTTTACCCGCTTCACCCCTTCCCATGTCTCCTCCCATTTTGCCTCCCGTTTCTCCTCCCTTCCCCTGCCCTTTCCCTTTCCCTTTCCAGCCGTGGCAGCAGCTGCAGGCCTTCTCAGCATCACGCGAGGAGGCAGCAGCAGTCCTTCTTTACCCGCCTCATCCCTTTCCATGTCTCCTCCCATGCCCTGCTTTACACTTGTGCAGCCGTGGCAGCAGCTGCAGGTGTTCTCAGCATCAAGCGAGGAGGCAGCAGCAGTGCTTTTTTACTCGCCTCACCCCTTTCCATGTCTCCTCCCATGCCCTGCTTTACACTTGGGCAGCCGTGCCAGCAGCTGCAGGCGTTCTCAGCATCAAGCGAGGAGGCAGCAGCAGTGCTTCTTTACTCGCCTCACCCCTTCCCATGTCTCCACCCATGCCTCCTCCCATGCCCTGCTTTACACTTGTGCAGCCGTGGCAGCAGCTGCAGGCCTTCTCAGCATCGAGCGAGGAGGCAGCAGCAGTGCGGGCGCGCATGCTGGTGGGGGGAGGCGGGGCAGGAGGGGAGGGGGGCAAGAAGCAGGGGGGGGTAAAAAAGGAGGAGGGTGCGATGGAGGTGGATGGAGCAGTGAAGGCCGAGAAGGGGCAACCAGAGGGAGAGAGGGAAAGGGTGGAAGGTGGAGGAGCGGGAGTGGGGCCAGGGGAAGGGGTGGATATGGATGGGGAAGGGGAGGAAGCAGCTGGTGCTGTTGCTGATGTGCCTTTCACCCTCCCTCAGTATGTTCCCTTCCCTTCCCTTCCCTTCCCTTCCCTTCCCTTCCCTTCCCTTCCCAGTTGCTCCGTGTGCCTTTCACACTCCCTCAATGTGTGCCGTTCTCACTCTCTCTCTGTTTTTGTGTGCACTCCCCTCTCTCATTCCCTGTCTAGTAGCAATTCCCCCCAGAGCCCGCACCCGCTCACTCTCTCCCCCTCCTTGCCCCCTTGCGATTGCCACTGCTGCTTTCATCCTGTCACTTCACTGCTTGGCGCCTGCTTCTTACACTCCTCCCCGCACACCTCCCACTTCCCCCCTGCCCCCACCCCGCTGCCTCTACTTCCTCCTTGCACCGCCCCCACCCCCCCCCCCAACGCACACCACTTCCCCCCAGTGTGTGGCCTTCATCGACACACTCCAACCGCCTCTCCTCTCCCACTCCCACTGAAGCTTCCTCACCTTTCCCAACCTCCACTCTTCTTCCTTCCTTTCTCCCCCCCTGCCGTTCGCTCTCCCGTTACTACTGGGCCCCGCCCCGCCACGCCCCCAGTGCGGCGTACATCCAAGCACTGGTGGGGTGCTGCCTCTCGCGCTCCTCCGCTGCTGCTGCTGAGATCCGAGGCATCTCAGGCCTCTCCAAGAGGTGAGGGGTTTGTCCAAGGGGTGAGGCCTCTCCAAGAGGTGAGGGGTTTGTCCAAGGGGTGAGGCCTCTCCAAGAGGTGACGGGTTTGTCCAAGGGGTGAGGCCTCTCCAAGAGGTGACGGGTTTGTCCAAGGGGTGAGGCCTCTCCAAGAGGTGAGGGGTTTGTCCAAGGGGTGAGGCCTCTCCAAGAGGTGACGGGTTTGTCCAAGGGGTGAGGCCTCTCCAAGAGGTGAGGGGTTTGTCCAAGAGGTGAGGCCTCTCCAAGAGGTGAGAAAAACAAATGTTAATGCAAGCTGGACTCTTTGGTTCTGGAATGCCCGGCTGTGAACCCCTCTCCCAAGGCCAGCACACATCTTCCAGTTAGACCAGCTGATCAATCTGGCGCGTCGATTACTGGCGCGTCGATTACTGAGCGTCGATTACTGGAGCGTCGATTACTGGCGCGTCGATTACTGGCCCTCCTTGCACGCGCCAAGACACACGTATCCCAGTTCGACCACTGACGATGAAGCTGCTGCTGCTGCCACACCCCCTCTTCACCCCCCCTTCCCCAGCTACCTGAATTCCCTCTCTCTGAAGTGTCGCGTCGCCTGCTGGCTGGCGCCGGCTACTAGCGCTCCCCTCACGGGCCAGGACGCACGTCTTCCAATTCCACTTCCATCAGCTGATGACGCTGCTGCCGCTTCCTTCCCCCACTTTCACCCGTGGCTCCCCTCCCTCCCTCCCGCGTTCTCCCTTTTACTCCCGTGACTCATTGCCTCTGGAGCGCCGGCTACTAGCGCCCCCCTCACGGGCGAGGACGCACATCCTCCTCTCCCAACGGCTGATGAATCTGCTCTGCTCTCTCTCTCTCTCTCTTCCCACTCCTCCCCATTCCCCGGCTACCTCGACTCGTTGCCTCTGGAGCGCCGGTTACTAGCCCTCCTCTCGTGAGCCAAGACACACATCTTCCACTTCCCTGGCTCAGAAGCTGTTGCTGCCCCACCCTCACCTCCCCTTCCCCCAATCCCCTCCTTCCTCAGCTACTTGGAGAATCTGCCTCTGGAGCGCTTTTGAGAATTTTCAAAAGCGACTCAGATTTGGTCGCCTACCAGCCCTCCGGTTGCACGCCAAGGCCTGCCTGATGAAGCTGCTGCCCCCCCCTCTCTCCCTCCTTTACCCTTCTCCCCTTCCGCCCTCCCGCCGTCCCGCTTCGTCCCTTATTATACTCTCAGCTACCTGGACTCCTTGCCTCTGGAGCGGCGGTTACTAGCCCTCCTCTCACGCGCCGAGACACACATCTTCCAGTTCCACGGCCTCTTAAATCCGCCTCTCCTCTCCGTTCTGTCTTTTTTCCCCGCTTTCCCCCAGCTACTTGGATTCTCTGCCTCTGGAGCGGCGGTTGCTAGCCCTCCTCTCACGTGCCAAGACACACATCTTCCAGTTCGACCGGCTGATGAATCTGCTGCCAGCAGGCACGCAGCAGCAGCAGGTGCTGGCGCTGCTGCAGCACAAGGCGCTGCTGGTGCAGGTGAGGTGGGGGATAGTAGTTGTAGGTTGCGGATGGGGATGGGGATGGGGATGGGGATGGGGATGAGGATGGGGAGAGTGTGAGAGGGAAGGTACAGGTAGGGCAAGGGAAGGGGTTAAATCGAGGGCGCAAATAGGGGTATGGCTCCTTTCCCCCCTTCTCCCCTGTTGTCCTGATCTTCCCCCTATCCCCTCACCCTCCTCACATCCCTCACTCTCCTCCCTCCTCACCAGGGCTGCTGGGTGGCGCCCAGCTCCATGCGCTTCCCCGTGGCCCCACCTGTGTGCTGCCAACTGTTGTCCCGTTTCTCCCTGCTCCCCTCTCTCTCCCTATCCCCGCACTCTCCGACTCTCCTCTCTCCTCCTCCCCCTCACCACGGCTGTTGGGTGGCGCCCAGCACCACGTTTCCCCATGGGGCCTACCAGTGTGCTGCCGCTGCCCTTCTCTTTGCCCCAAACCCCCTCCTTCCCTGTTCCCGTTCTCCCACTGCCTCTGCTGTCCCTCCTCCCCTGCCCTCCTCCTCACCAGGGCTGCTGGGTGGCGCCCAGCTCAATGCGCTGCCCCGTGGGCCCCACCTGTGTGCTGCGAGACCTGCTGCTGCTGCTATTCACCAAGCACCGCGTCATTCGCCAGGAGCATGTCGCGCACCTCAAGGTGGGTGGTGCTTGCAGTGCAGCGGCTAATTCATCATCTCAGCAGCTGCTGCTACTGCCGCCACCGCCGCCACCGCCACTGCAGCTATGGTGCCAGTGCTGCTGCTGCTGCTGCTGCTGCTGCCACCGTCGCCGCTGCTGCTGCTCGACGGGCATTGGTAACACTTCAAGGTGCGCCCCAAAACACACACTGTGGGATGTAGGAGTGTTTTTAGTCAACTAATAAATCAGACTGTGTGCTGTCTGTCGCACAATGGGGGGAGAACTAACCTGCATGCAGATCCTCATTAATCGTCATTGGCATTCAGTCCATGCGTTACTTACCCACTTCCACCCCTCTCTGCCCACCTCTACCCACCTCCACCCACTCCCACTCACCTTTGCCCACTTCCATCCATCCACGTCCTCTCAGCAGGTACCCAAGCAGTTATGGTAGGATCTGTTGTTGCCCATAGGCATCCCCAGGGGGGCATTGCCATTCGGTCTAGGCATTGCCTTGTCACTCTACCCACTTCTACCCACTTCTACCCACTTCTACCCACTTCTACCCACTTCTACCCACCACTACCCACCTCTACCCACGTCTACCCACCTCTACCCACCTCTACCCACCTCTACCCACCTCTACCCACCTCTACCCGTCCTCGCACAGGTACCCAAGGAGTTATTGAGGGAGTTACTCCTATCCATAGGCATTCTCAGGGGGGCCATTCCACTCACTCCATCCGATGCCCTGTCTCTTTACCCACTTCCACCCACCTGCACCTACGTCTACCTGTCTCTACATTCCCTAACCCACCTCTACTCCTTCACATTCCAGGTACCCAAGGAGCTACTGAGGGAGTTATTACTGTCCATTGGCATTCCCAGGGGGCCCAACACAGGCTGGGAGTTTGCCGAACCAACAGACCAGGCCTTCCTCGACTCCCACCCCGCCATAGCTAAGGAGCAGCTTCGGCGCTGGATGGCCGCCGAGCCTGCGATCCTCCGAGCCTCTCGCGCCCTCTCCCTGGCCTCCATGGCTGACGTGGCAGCAGCTTCGGCAGCTGCTGCTGCGGCCAAGGCTGCTGCTGGTGGGGGAGGGGGAGGTAGGGGCGGGGGAGGCAGGGCCGGGCCTGGGGGAGGCTTGGGAGCGCCCAAGGCTGGTCTGGCAGGCCGTGGGGCAGGTTTGGCAGGACGAGGGGCGGGATTGGCGGGGCGAGGAGCAGGTCTGGGAAGAGGTTCGGGCGGTCCGAGCCTGCAGGCTGGTGCTGTGGCAGGGACGGCAGGTGCAGCAGCGTGTGCAGTAGTAGCTGCAGCAGCAGGGGGGGGGGGAGCAGGAGCAGCAGGAGGCACAGTGGGGGCGGTGGGGCAGAGCTTGAGCGCTGAAACACGGGAGGCACTTCCCGGTGCTCTACGGAAGATATTCGCCCAGCACCACGTGTGCAGGTAGATGCATGTGATTTGAAATGACCCTCTTGGTATGCCTTGCATGGCTGGGATGGGATGGGAAAGGGATGGGATGGGAAGTGATGGCTCTTGACTCGCTCCTCTTGGTAGACCCATCCTCTGCATTAGATTTTAGGTGCTCTCTCACAAGTCGCCCCCACCCTTTTCCACCCCTCCCCACCATTTCCAGTCTGCCCTTTCTGTGTCAGCAGCTGCAGCGAGCAGCAGAGGAGCAGCAGAGGGCGGCAGGGGCGTCACCTCAGGCTGTAGCAGCAGCTGTCGCGGCAGCCAAGGCTGCGAAATCTCCAGCCAATGAGCTCGCGTCAGCTGTCTCAGAGGTGCTTTCTGGGGTTTTTGTTGCTTGCACGTTGTGGTTCGCTTGTTCATGCTCACTCATGCACTTAAACACATTGCATTGCATGCCTCCGTTGGACTGTTCCTTTGAATGCGATTAACTGTCAAAATTTGAATTACCATGTTTTGTGGTTCACCTATTTACGACTATTCCTGCAGCTATCTCCTCCCAGGCGTGCATGCACTCACTGCCACACGTCTGACATTGTCTCTGAATTTCACTCATCTGCCACACATCAACAGACATTGACTCACGCTTACACACTGTCTCTCATTGTGACCCGTTTGTAATTTGTTGTCTCACATGGTCACACATTGTTCACTCATTGTCTCACATTGTCACACATTCTTCACTCGTGGTCTCACATTGTCATACATTTCTCACTCATTGACTCACATTGTCTCACATTGTCACACATTCTTCACTCATTGTCTCATATCGTCACACATTCTTCTCTCATTGTCTCATATCGTCACACATTCTTCTCTCATTGTCTCATATCGTCACACATTCTTCACTCATTGTCTCATATCGTCACACATTCTTCACTCATTGTCTCATATCGTCACACATTCTTCACTCATTGTCTCATATCGTCACACATTCTTCACTCATTGTCTCATATCGTCACACATTCTTCACTCATTGTCTCATATCGTCACACATTCTTCACTCATTGTCTCACATCGTCACACATTCTTCACTCATTGTCTCACATTGTCATACAGCTCTCACTCATTGTCATACATTAACACAACTTTGTTATGCATTGTCCTGCATTGTCATCAAATGTCCCACATTGTGTCGCCCAGTCCCACATGATCTCACATTGTCACATGGTGCCATCCTCTCACATTGTCACATGGTGCCATCCTCTCACATTGTCACATGGTGCCATCCTCTCACATTGTCACATGGTGCCATCCTCTCACATTGTCACATGGTGCCATCCTCTCACATTGTCACATGGTGCCATCCTCTCACATTGTCACATGGTGCCATCCTCTCACATTGTCACATGGTGCCATCCTCTCACATTGTCACATGGTGCCATCCTCTCACATTGTCACATGGCGCCATCCTCTTTCATGGTTACTACAGCCTCTTAGTTATCAAATGCCCTTTGTCATGTGCCTTTTTAGCCTGCTGCTTTCCTGCTTGCTTTTGCCTGCATAACTTAACCCAATCACATGCCTGCGTGCCGTGGCCCATGCAGGTGGCCACCAGCATCAACGGAATATACTTCCTCCCGACACTCAATGATCCAGAAGTCGATCCCTTCAGGTGCTCCCTTTTTCTTTGAGTTGATGTTTTCTCTTTTTTTCTTTTCCGCTTTCTCTTTCACGTGGTCTGTCCCATGTGCTTTATGAACCTCATCTAGATAATTTCTTTCACATGCTTTCTCGTTTCTCTTTTCTTTTTCTTTTTCTTTTGGTTGCCATCATGTGCCTTCTCCCATGTCCTTCTCAGCTTTCCTGCATCTACCAGGCAAGGGTAAATCAAAATGCACAACCCTCTCAAAACCACTGAAAGAATGTGTTGTAACCTCTTCCCTCACTCCCTCCCACCATCCCAATGCATGGCACAGGGAGGTGGTGATTGCGCTGCTGAGAGCCAAGGGCGCAGGGGGGGTGGGGCTGAAGCGAACAGAGATAGTGGAGGCCACGCGCATTGCACTTAAAGCCCAAGTGCCCGCTGCAACATACCAACGGGTGAGCCTGCCTTCCTCCCTCCCTGTGCATTGCATCTCTCCTTATTCTCCTCCGCTGTTTCCTTTCAAGCTCAACGCCTCTATTCTTGTTTGGTTCGACCTTTGTACGGGCAGGTTCTGAAGGAGTTGTGTGTCACTAATGGTGCGGCATGGGTGCTGAAACCAGGGGATGGCAGCACAGTGTGAACTCCACGTTGTGCTGCGCTGGTGGTGCCTTTGTAAACCACATGCAGTGCTGAATTCTTGCAACAATGTGCAAGCTGTGCAAGTGGGGGCACGTGTGTGTAAAACACCAGAATAAGAGCATTTCTGCCATTTGCATTCATCACTAACTCAGTGCATCCTGATGTAAGGAAGCTGCCTACACAAATGAAGCAGTGAAAAAAATGGAACTGGTTTTTCTTTGACAATATAGTCTTTCATGTGATAACCTGGCTGCAGTTGCACAACTTGTTCCAGACACAGCCAGACTTGTAAGCAATAAGTACATATACACATTGCTACACATGGTTAGCACTACAGGGATCAAACAAGACCTACACAAGAGCAAATATTTTACAAGACCACACCTAGTCAATGCTGCCAGCCACACCAGAAGCATTCACTTGCACCAGATACGGTACATTGACCACTCCTTTTGTCACATCTGACTTCAAGGCCGCCAGGGAGGCCTCACTGCAGCCACCCTTGTCACCCTCACATTGCCTTTCTTCCCCTCAGATTTCACAATGTCAACTCTCTCCTGCCTCCTCCTGATTTGTTGTTCGGATCCCCCACCCTTTTCAGAGCACACAAATCCATGCAGAACCTTCTTCTCCTCCACTGCAACGGTCTTCACATCAGGAGCACGTGCGCTCCTAGGCTTGGGAATGCGCGAACACACTGATTCAAGCAGAACCTTCCTCTCCTCCGCAGCAAGGGTCTTCAAAGCAGGAGCACGTGCGCTGCCAGGCTTGGGAATGCGCGTAGGCAGCAGCTTCAAGCTAGCCAATGCCATTCTCGAGACCATGCACTTGCTTGCAGCCAGCTCTGTAGTCGCTGCTGACTTCAACACTTGGTTGGGCTCCCGCTTCAAGTCACCATTGTTGCCCTTCTTAAGCTTCCTGTGACCAGCACTGACGGCCTCTCTGGTCACTGCTGCCCAAGGCACAGTAAAAGTGAAGCTTTTGCTGTAGTCCACGTAATCTCCACTGCTGTAAAGACGCGTCGCGTTACCAAAGCTGCTGCTGAGAAGCGTCTTGCAGCTGCTGTCCACCATGCTAATCGTGCTGGCGACGATGCTGCCAACACTCACCCTGTCACACTCCATCCGTACGTCCTTGTTTGACATTTCAAACGGAGCCTCAGTGGATGCCTCTGCAGGCACAGGGAAGTCATCCGCAGCTCCAGAAAACTCCTCTGAGGTTTCCGAGGAGTACCCTGCAGCCTCGTACGAGATTTCTTCTGCCTCAAAGGAGCCAACTGCAGGCTCGGAAGACTCCTCTGCAGCCTCAGAGGAGTCCCATGACGCCTCAATCCGGGGGTCCTCCTCCTCTGCAGCCGAAAAGGAAGGTGATAAAGCTGGGAGTTGAACCTGCGACTGAACGGGAGCACTCCGGTTCTTCCAGAGACGAAGGGCTTCAGAGAAACAAGGATAATCAGCTTGGGCCATGAGAACTTAGTGGTATCCGAGTGAGGTAAGAGGAGAATGCCTCAAGAACAAAGCTTCGACGGTAGGAAACTTGGAACACTGTAGCAAGTGTGAAGCCTGGTAGGAAGATTGCTCTCAAGACTCGTTGAGAAATTTTGGAAGTAAGACTCTGAGAACAATTGGGCTGAGGGAATGATATTCTATAACCGAGACGAGGAGGCACGAGTCAGAGGTGAGGAGGGAGGAGAGTTGCGGGGAGCAGCAGCAGAGGGGTGGAACAGGCTCGGGGAACTCCTGCTGCCCTTTCAGCGTCCGGGACCTTCTGAGCTCTCTGCTCCGGCAAGCTGCCCGGCTTGAAATTTCTACAAGGGCAAACATTCTAAACGAATTTGCAGGGTGCTCGACTCTCACGGGCAAGGCTGCGGCGCGGGACATTTCGGTTCCGCTGCCCTTCAAGAGATGGTTGTTTCAGGCTCGGACGAGGTCGCTGTTTCGTTGCGACGAAGCTAGCGAGGCTCGTTGCGAAATGATCGACACTGCGCGCTTCCGGAGATTCACTTCGCTGGGTAGAACAAATATTACGCAAATGTTTATCCCCAGTTCCAGGTCGGTACCAACTGAAGCGGCAACGCGTAACAGAGTACCGGAAGCGGGAATTACGCGCGGCTAAACGTTTATTTTCGCTTGCCCGTTCAAAACAAAACAACAGCAGTTTTCTAGGTTCCGACGATTCCGTGGAGTGGCAGCAGCCAAAGGCTCGGTGAAGATCCAACGGTGGTCCGTAACAAGAGACTATCGAGGAGACACAAGCTCAAACTTTGAAACAAGCTCTTGCAGATGAGATCGGAGTTGCATTGGAGGTTTGAACCTGTACTCCGTACAGAGGTTCTCGTGACTTCACAGTTCATACAATTCCAGTTTGTGGCGCAAAGTCTTCAAAGCGTTAGGGCGTATTCCTATCCTCCTATCAAGAAAACCTCCTATCAAGCTCTCACTGGAAAATTCCCTAAACCCAAAATCTCTCGCTACTTTTACCAGGCAAAAGGTACAATCTTGATAGGAGGTTTCTTGATAGGAGGCCGTAGGAATACGCCCTTAGTCTGAGCGTTTCATCCTGGCGCTTATATAAAGGTGTACCGTACTTTCAATCAGACGTTAGTGACCAAACAGGACTCATTAATGGAACTCAATTTCCTATAAGCTCGCGTTTAAGAAGTAAGTTTGCATCGGAAACCTAAATATCACGCCGCGACCAAGGCTCACAATTGATTCGTAATGCTGGGGTGCATCGAATCGACATGGTTGTGGGAGCGCAACTCGTTCATGCTGCATTTCTTTCTACGGTAGTCTGTGTTATTCCGACATGGTACGGCAATAGAGCTTGTGGGAGTCCGACAAGAGGTTTGCGTGATAAGAGGTCATAGTGGAAACAAGCAATGATATTTACATCTTAGTTACCCATCTCTACCGTATTTGACATCCTCCCCTTGCCCTTTTTGCGCTGAGACAAAGCAGCAGAACATTACGATCTCTCATTTGTACACGCTTATTTACACTTCCATATGTCAAACTACTGCTTGCAAAGATACTAAAATTCACCATTCCCCAAAATTGACGGCCACAAAGCCAGCCAGCAAGCGGCCGTTGGTGGAGCGCAGCTCGTTCATGAGGTGACTCCAGTTGGACAAACCTAGAGTCGTCTCGTCCCGTCTCAAACCCTGTGCTGTGGTGAAACTACCACTCCCCAAAATTGACGGCCACGAAGCCGGCTAGCAAGCGGCCGTTGGTGGAGCGCAGCTCGTTCATGAGGCGACTCCAGTTGGAGCCGAGGCTGCCGACAAAGTAGTCACACTGCGCAGCAATCAGCACGCTTGCAAAGCTCACCGCCACGGACTGATCGCGCTCGTACTGCCGCAGCGACCCCGCTGCGGCCTGCTGCCGCGCGTTGGACGAGTAGAAGAAAGTCCATGAGGGCTGATCCGCTGCTCGGTCCACGTTGGCCTGCATGGTGTGAGGAGAAAAGGTGGATGGGAGGGGAAAGAAGCAGTGCAGATGGTTTGCCTGTCGGGATGGAAACCAGAAAGAGCAGAACATGAACGGAGCATCAGTGGTGCAGACATGTAGAAAAAGAAGGGGAGATTGGAAAACAGGGTGGTCAGGAAATGCACAATACGACACATGAACAGGAAACGGACAGAATGCAATATGACAGGCAAGTCACCTGGGTCTCAGTGTTGAGCCAGACGTGGGAGAGGTCGAGCTCATGGTGGCGGAGGCGGTTCATGTGGAAGATGTGGGAGTCCAGAGAGGTCAGGCCCATCTCTGCAAACTTGTCCGTACCCCTTACATGCAGACTCACTATAGGCCGCGGCATGTACGGCTCCTCCACTCCCAGCCACCAGCTGGCATCCGTGCTGTTGGCATTGCCATTGTCACCACCCCCTGTGGCACTGCCAGTGGCGTCTGGATGGAAGGACAAGGATGAACTTGCAAGAGCCGCCAATCGGTCTGCTGCTCTTCTCCTCCTTGCTTCCCAGTCAGTTGCATTAGCTGGGACGTTGAGTGCGGTAGGTGCAGCAGAGGTGGCAGAAGCAGAGGTGGCAGAAGCAGCAGGGGCGGTGCTGTGAGAGAGAGAGGAGAGGGCTTCTGATTGGGTAAGAAGGAAGCGAGCGACGTGATTGGCTGAGAGTGTGCCGAAAGCGCGGTGCCTCTCCTGGTTGGTGACGTGGCAGAGATGCGCCGACGGCCACCGCATGATGAATCGCACCGCCTGCGCCCGCCACCAGTGCACCTGGGAGCATGGGGAAGGGGGAAGGGAAGAAAGGGATAGAGAGGAAGGGCATGACAACAAGAGAATCATGAATCGCACCGCCTGCGCTCACCACCAGTGCACCTGGCGAGGGGGAGGGGGAACATAATAGGAATAACTCGAGCAATGAATCGCACCGCCTGCGCCCACCACCAGTGCACCTGGCGAGGGGGAGGGGGAACATAATAGGAATAACTCGAGCAATGAATCGCACTGCCTGCGCCCACCACCAGTGCACCTGGGGGGAGGGAGAAAGGGGAAGGGTAGAGGAGGATAGAGTGAAGACACGACAACAAGAGAATCATGAAACGCAACGCCTGAGACCGCCATCAGTGCACCTGGGGGCTTTGATGGGAAAGGGGGGGACGAGGGGGGAGAATTGGGGAAGGTGCAAGAGCTACTTTTGGAACGCACTGCCTGTCAATTGCAAGAAGTGCAAGAAGTGCATGCATAGGAACAGAATAAAAGGGGTACACACAGTCACGGTGCAAAGCTGAGTCTGTAGCGGCCGCACTGCACACCTATGGTCCGTATTTAAACCTCGCACATACACCATCACATGATTACATGTATCTCAACCCTCATGCACAGCCCTTCCAGTCACGTCATGAGACAATATAAAACTCATGTCACGTCACGTCACGTCACGTCACCTCTAGAAAATTCAAGTTTTGAATTCTCCCCGCACCCCCCTTTCTGAATACCCCTGGCACACCCCTTATTGTCACCTTTCACAGGTCAGGATCAGTTGCGTTAAACACTACTTAAAAACACTTTTAAATTCTCTTGGCACACTCCTTACAGACACCGTTCATTCTTATAGTCACCTTGCGGAGTTCAGGGCCAAGAGGCATGAGTCGCCCCTTTGCGTATGATGACTCGACTCAAAAATCGACTCATCACAGGCGGATCATACTCCAACATACCCCTTACAGTCAGTCACCTTGCGAAGTTCAGGGTCAAGAGGCATGAGTCGCCCCTCTGCCTCCACAGTGCATGTGCTGTTCAGATACGCGTCGCCCCACAGACTGCCACAGGATGGGGTTCGAGGGAAGGGAGGTAAGTATGGGAAGAAGGGGGGTACCGTGGAGAACCATGAGTCGCCCCTTTGCCACCACCGCTCATGCTGTGTTGAGATATGCGACGTCGCCTCACAGGCTGCCACAGGATGGGGGGGATGGGCGGGTAAGAGCGGGGGAAGAGGTGGGGGGAACAATGGGAGCGGAAGAGGGGAAAGGAACAATGAGCCTCCCCTGCCGACTCTCCCGGCAGCCAAGCAGCCCCTGTCGATCCACCTGGCAGGAAATATGTTATTCGACAATTGTATGCTAAATCTGTTTTTTGAGAATTGTATGTCGAACTTCCTGAAGGCCGATGCCGGAATGGCCTCCGAGTTCGCGCACGTCCTGTTAAGGGTACCATTGCCAGGAAGGGAGAAACAGAGGAAGGGAGAAACAGAGGAAGGGGGGAAACAGAGGAAGGGGGGAAACAGAGAGAAACTGAGGAAGGGAGAATCAGAGAGAAACAGAGGAAGGGAGAAACAGAGAGAACCTGCCGCCTCTAGTTCTCTCTGTTTCTCCCTTCCTCTGTTTCTCTCTGTTTCCCCCTTCCTCTGTTTCTCCCTTTTTTCTGTTTCTCCCTTCCTGGCAATAGTACCCTTAACAGGACATGCGCGAACTCGGAGGCCATTCCGACATCGGTCTTCGGGAAGTTCCCTATGTTTTCCCCGTTGATTCGAACTCTGAAGTTGTGTTTCCTTTTCCCGCTTTTGATGCACCATAAACACCATTTGGGATTGTCTCGAAGGTTGTCAAACCTTCCACCTCTGGCTCAACTTGTGACGGGGCTCTTCTTCCGAGGCTCCGCCAATGTGGAGAACCACGCTGACCATTTGAGGAATGTGTACATTTCCATCCCTGTTTTGTCATCTCGTCGAGGTTGCTGCTCTCCTCCTCCTCCTCCTCCTCCTCCTCCTCCTCCTCCTCCTCCTCCTCCTCCTCCTCCTCCTCCTCCTCCTCCTCCTCCTCCTCCTCCTCCTCCTCCTCCTCCTCCTCCTCCTCCTCCTCCTCCTCCTTCCCCTCCCACTCCTCCACCTGCCAGCGGATGACTCCATGGAGTCGGCCATGCCGATGTACACGAAACGGTCGAAATGGCAGCGGCGGCCTCAAAGCCCATGCCGGCGCAGTCGGGGAGCATGTTGGTGACTAGCTGCTGCATGGCCACACAAGGCACCTACCCTTCCGTACACCTTAGCAACAAACCTCTGAAAAATCGTATCAATGCTCCCCCTTCCCCATTCCCCCCTTCCGTACCCACCTAGCAGCAGAGGACTCCATAGAATTCGCCATGCCGATGCACACAAAGCGATCGGGCGAGGCAGCAGCGGCCTCAAAGCCCATGCCAGCGCAGTCGGGGAGTGTGTTGGTGACTAGCTGCTGTACAACCACTCGTCGGCACTCCACTGAGGTGATGGGGAAGAAGTAGCAGTCCCACCGACTGTTGTGCCCCACGGCTGGTGATAACAGCGGGGAACGGGGAGGTGGGAACGGGGAGGTGGGTACGGGGAGGTGGGTATGAGTTTCAGCAGCTGCATAGCCACGTGGAGACATTCCACTGGTGTATTGTAGAAGCGGTAGCAGTCCCTGCGACTGGTGATGGAGAGGAGAGAAGGTATGGGGGAGCAGGGTGAGGGGAGAGGGGCATGATGAAAGGGGAACGAGGAGGGGTTATGGTGGGATGAGTGTGGAGGGTTTAATGCGGGGAGGGGGGTTGGAGAGGGGACATGAGGAGTGGGATATGGTGAGGGAGGGGGTATGGTGAGGGGGGTATAAGGAAAGGGGTATGGGGAGGGGGATATGGGGAAGGAAGGGGGGCATGGCATGGGGAGGGGTGCATGAGGGTGGGTTGGAGAAAAGGGCTTACCTTCACAGTCGGGAACAAGGGCTTACCTTCACAGTCGGGAACAAGGGCTTACCTTCACAGTCGGGAACAAGGGCTTACCTTCACAGTCGGGAACAAGGGCTTACCTTCACAGTCGGGAACAAGGGGACATGAGGGTGGGTGGGTGGGTGGGTGGGTGGGTGGGTGGGTGGGTGCGTGGGTGGGTGGGAGAAACGAGCGCACCTTCGCAGTCAGGCGTGCGGGCGCGCAGGTAGGTGTCGGGGTCTTCTACGAGCACTCTGTTGTTGAGCATGGCCAGGCTGAGCATGGCTGACATCACATGCACCTGGTGGGTTGGTGGGTGGGATGGGATGTATGGATACATGCAGTCGACTGAAAATTGCAACACGTGTCATGTCAGCATTAAACAGGTAGGCGTCAGGGTCCTCTACGCGAGTACCACTGTTGAGCATGGCACGATTGAGAAGATTCACCTGAACATCCATCAGATTCACCTGAAAAGCCAATGAATTCACCTCTAAGCCTATCTATTGCCTCCCAATAACCCCATCAAATTCACCTCAGAGCCCGTCAGATTCACCTGAGAGCCCATCAGATTCACCTGAGAGCCCATCAGATTCACCTGAGAGCCCATCAGATTCACCTGAGAGCCCATCAGATTCACCTGAGAGCCCATCAGATTCACCTGCGAGCCCATCAGATTCACCTGCGAGCCAGCCCCATGGCCACCAGGTTTGGGCCACTTGGCAATGAGCAGGCGCTTGTCGGTGCAATCCCCAGGTGGGAACTGATGCCGCCAGATGTCCCTCTGCACGACACGTGTCAGCGGCAGATTGGCTTCATCCGGCCCTCTGATCTGGGTGGAACATGTGTGGGCGAACAGACAGGTAAAGAGTGCCATTGTGTCGGGAATGCCTGCATCATGGGATCCAAAAGGGATGTGTTGAAGCTTGACATCGCATTGATCTGACATTGACAATGCATTGGATGGACATTCAACTGGACCCTGAAGCTGGCATTGACGTTGACAATGACACTGACAATGACACTGACAATGACACTGACAATGATACTGACATTGACATTAAACTTGACATTGGCATTAGCCATCCAAAGTATTTGGTGCAACGTCTAACTATCTTCGCACTCCCCACTGTCCTACCGGTACATAACCTACAGTAGTGCAGAAGGGACTATAAACCTTACCCATGGCGGCTGCGGGACCTCCTCCCCCTGCTCTTGCCCCGAGCACCCACCACTAGCAGCAGCCTCCGACCTCCTTGGCCCTTCCCGCGTCCAAGCGGGCTCCTCTCCCCTCGCGCCTCTCCGCTCCCACGCCTCCCGCTCCGCGCTCGCTCGCGCGCAATCCTCCAGGTGCGGCGCAGCGGGCACGCCCGCGGGGAGGGAGACGGCGGAAGGGGGAAGCAGAGAGTCTGCGCCCAGCCCGTACGCTTCCGACCACGCTTTAACTAACGCCTCCGCTTCCTGGGAAGCGGCATCGCCTAGAAACTGCGACGCGGCTAGCGCTAGCGCTAAGAGCGGGCCGGAGCCGCGAGTGTTGCCGACGGGAAGGGAGGGAGGAGCGTGAAGCGCGCTGATGAGGAGAAGGAGGAGGAGGGCGTATTGTAAGCGTGGGAGGCGTTGGGATGTTGCGAGGCGGTATGAGTGGCAGCCGGGATGGGTCATTCTGCTTAGGAGCCCTACTTTCAGCGTTGAAGGCGAAACGAGTTGGTATTCTTCAAAGTGACTCACGCCTCCCAGATCTTTTGGTGCATCGTAACGAGATATGTAAAGGCTAGTAGACTTGTGCTGCTGGAATCTCTGTTCTTGATGTTAGTATGTACACGAAAAAGATAGCCCCGTGGTGTCGTAGACCTTCTACCAGGAGTTGGCGACGCGCGTCGCAATGGCTAGTAATTCTAGAGGCTAATCATCCGCGGTTAAAGTTAATAATTAGGTAGCGGATTCTCCGCACGAGGTGGCATCAGCGCGTTACACGCTGGGGGCCAATGGAATCATATTCGTGTCTCGCATCCGATCAGGAATATATGAGCGGCCCTAGCTTGCTTAGTAGAAAGGATGGCACCCGACGGCCATTATAATGTAGATATGATCGAACCGAGCTTGTAGAGGAGTCTGATATCCTACAAAATTGGTGCACATCGCCTAAGTCATCTCCAAAAATCGTGAACATCTGCCAAATCCTCCTGAACGTTTTCAATCAGATTGATCTCAGAGAGGGAAAGAAGAGTCCACTAGCAATCCAGGTTTGCGATTCACATCAAACACGGGTCAGTTACAACCTCCCTCCTAATGTTGCGGATTGAGCAGGAACAGCAGTGAGTGCAGCAGATAGGCAGAAAGAGCGTTGAAGCCCTCTTTAGGTCTCTAGTTTCAGTGGGCTTCTGACCCAAAATTAGATGGTGTGAAATTAGATAAAATATGTTTCAGTGGGTTTAAAGTCGTTACAAGTTTTGCTGGTTGACTTTCTTGGACTCGGATGCAGGCGCAGACCAGCCGGAGCAGATCAAGGTCAACAGCATGCCAACGGATGATGAGGCCTCATACCCCTATAGAGTGCACCGTGCACATTGGCACAAGATTAGAGCACACCTATTTTCATGAGCACAATACCCCAGTAGATCAACTTTTCGTGGCAGGTATTAGGCCTTAAAATGCTCATTAACAACATAACGCAGGAAACACCTAATTGAAGTTGATAACTGAAGACGATTGAGAAATCCCGTTGTAAATCAATGTGCCCGAGACGGGAACGAACTGCTTGGTAATAAGCTGCACACAAGAAGGAACATGCTATGATTGCGAGAATGAGAAGGACTAGAGTAGATGCAACATGGCAGAAAGACAACAGCTACAAATGAAGGAATTGGAGGTGGGCAGGAAGGGGGCGGGGGGGGGGGGGGGGGGGGGGGGTGGGGAGGGGGAGGGTTTAGAGGCGCTGCGGGAGGCTAAGGGAGATCCGTGTTGCCCAACTCCATGCTCCAAACTGACTAATCAACCAACCATAAAGTCAACTAATTTCAGGAAATCCATGGAGTTTTCACTGGGGATTTACCTTGATTGCTTCTTGGCTTGCCACCCCACCAATCACAGCAGCAACACAGTGCAGCTCACTGGCACCAAACCGGCACATCTCAGCCGTCAGATCGTCCGGAATCGAAGGTGACTGGCTGGGGCTGCCACCTCCACTGACAATAGTGCCTGCCAGGCTCTTGAGCCGTGCCACGTCATCATCGTCCACGTCACTGGCAGGAGATTAGAGGACACGTGAGTGGAGGTAAGATTTCACTGCGGCGCCGCTTGATGGCATCCCGATACATCCTGCAACAAACTAACTGCCATCTTCCTTAAACCAATACACTAAGTGATGTATGATAAGAGGAACTATGATGACGCTGGGCATGCGATCCACAGTGGTGCAATAGCAACAAAAAGCATATTCACATCGAACTCGTAGAAACTCACGAATGAGTGAATCTTATGACCACTGGCGACTACCTCACAAGAACGACCTATGTTTTTTGCCTTACAACATAAGGTGCTTGCCACACAACATAAGGTGCTTGCCACATAACATAAGGTTCTTGCATTACAACATATAAGGTTCTTGCCATACCCGGGGAAAGAGCCGGGGTAGCGGTGGAACTGGGAATAGAAGTGGTCGGCGCCTCTCAGGAGTACATACAGGGCTGCATGGCTGACAGGTGGTGATGTGGGGGGGGGGGGGGGAGAGGAGGGAAGTTGGGAGGGACGATGAGGGGAGAGAAGTGGAGAGAGAGAGATTGGCTTCACGCATGCCGCTGCTTCAGTGTAAGGGTTTTCAGAAACCTTCTGCAAGAGAGGTAGCACAACACACCCTCACCATTTGGAGATGACATGAGACTGTACCTCACCATCTGGAGATGACAAGAAACTGTACCCGCCATCAGGAGATGACATGCAACAGTACTTGCCATCAGGAGATGACATGAAACCGTACCTGCCATGAGGAGATGACATGAAACTGTACCTGCCATCAGGGGATGACATGAGCCGCTGCAGAGTTGGAATGCAAGCTCGCGCCCCTGCTCCAAACTCCTCACTCAAAGGCTTGAAGCGAACCACCTTATAGCGAGTAAAAGTGAAGGTGAGGCCCAAGGAGGGGAGGAAAACACGTGTGCAGTTGAGGGGGTAACACCTGTGATTGTCTGGCACAGGAGATGTGATCAGGAGATGATGTTAGTAGATGCGGAAGGAAAAACAGTGAGAGGGGACTGGCATGGGATTACATGAACAGCACCACTCGACAATGGCAGTCACTCAGTCACAATTACACGGGACGCCGCTGATAATTCTGGCATCTTAAGAGCCAACTTTTGAGCTGACTCAAAAGTCTGATGATTCAGGCATCTAAGAACCAATAGAAGCACAGGGGTGCACCCAGGCATGTATTTTCCAGCGTTGGAATGAAGAGCAGTTAGTGGTTGGGTTGTGTGCGGATTACCCTGAGGTTCCGTGCGTTCTTGCAGAAGAGCTTGACTGTAACCAGCAGCACCCCACTGGTGCATTCACACATGTGCTTTCCAAGGTTTGAGAAACGAGAAGAGTGGTTAGTGGGTTTGTGTCGCGATTACCCTCAGGTTCCGCGCGTTCTTGCAGAAGAGCTTGATTGTAGCGAGGGGAATGGAGGCGGGGTCCTTGCCTATGCTCTTCAGCAGCTCGCTGACGTGGCGCTGCACCGCTGCCACGTCAGCATCCGCCTTGCTGAGGTAGATTCTCTGAAGTGCCACATAGAAACTGGTGAAAGGGAAGGGATGAATGTTGGTGATGTGAGGGGATAAGGATAAGGGGTATGGAGGTAAAAAAGGAGAGAGGAGAGAAAAAGATCGAAGCGAGAGTGAAATAAAGCAGGATGGAACGGGCAGATGGATGCTTCTAAAAGAGAAACAAGCATGTGACTTTCGAAAGGATGTTTCCACAACTCCTATTCACCCATCTTCAGCACCATTGTCACACACCCTCCAACACAAACCTAAAAAAACAAAAAGTGCATGCCATGCCATGCCATGCCACCACTCTCACTCTGTGAGGGAGTGCATGTCGGGTATGGCGCCATCAACAGGGAGGTCCCCTTCCCCCTCCTTCTCCACAAACAGCTGAACGCAGAGGCACACAAGGAAGGACAACAACAAACGACGAGACAGGTCGAGGAGACGGGAGTTGGAAGATCAGCCATGAAGACTGGGCGAGCAGCAATCACTTTTGAGGCGCCTCAAGACTGGGCGAGCAGCAATCAAGAAGATACTTTTAGGAAAAGAAGAAGGAAAAAGAGTAAAACTTGTCTGTTTGTTGTACCTTACTTAATGCCAAAAATTACAAAAAATGAACCCTCAACTCCACTACTAGATTAACATGCGAACTAGTTTCGGCAGACTGGGACTTTTGAGTCGACTCAAAAGTCAACTCGCTAGTTTCGGCGGACTGGGACAGGCCCCAAGTCACACCTTCTTTTGAGTCGACTCAAAAGCAGACTGGGACAGGCCCCAAGTCACACCTTCTTTTGAGTCGACTCAAAAGCAGACTGGGACAGGCCCCAAGTCACACCTTCTTTTGAGTCGACTCAAAAGCAGACTGGGACAGGCCCCAAGTCACACCTTCTTTTGAGTCGACTCAAAAGCAGACTGGGACAGGCCCCAAGTCACACCTTCATCAGCAACAGACGACGAGACAGGTCGAGGAGACGGGAGATGGAAACAAACAACAGGCTGCAGATTTTGAGAATTCTCAAAAGTCGCACCAACAACAACAACGGGCAGCAAAAAACCGATTTTGGAGTCACTTTTGAGATTTTTCAGAAGTTTGAAGATAGAAAAAAACCAAGGCTGCAAAGAACGAGACAAAGAAGTTGGATGATTGAGCTCGAACGCAGGAGAGCGGAAGCAGGTGAGATTGCGGTGTAAGTGCAGTGTTGGGAAAGCAATCCTAGCGCGTACCTTGAGCGCAGCAGCAAGCACCCAGAAGTCAGAGGAGGCGTGTGAGAGCTGCATGGCTGCATCGGTGAATATGGCCTGCAGCTCCGACCCTAGAGCACGCCGCATGGGCATGGTGTGGGGAGGTGGGGGGGAGGAGGAGGAGGAGGAGGAGGAGGAGGAGGAGGAGGAGGAGGAGGAGGAGGAGGAGGAGGAGGAGGAGGAGGAGGAGGAGGAGGAGGAGGAGGAGGAGGAGGAGGAGGAGGAGGAGGAGGAGGAGTACGGGACCCGGAAAGAAGGTCAAACATGGGGAAAACAGGTTTCTGGACGCAAGAAAACAAATACGGATATCACGTCGAAGTGGCATTACGGCTGATCTAAGAGTGAGCTCAGAAGGCAGGGGTACGGTACGGGTACCTACCTATGGGGGGAGGCGACCACACTTTGTACGCGGCAGCGAGCGCCTCCTTGAAGTTATCCTCGTCCATGTGCCTCTGGTGCGCTGCTATCAACCCCTGCGCGTGTGGGGTGTGGGGGGGGCGGTGAGGGTGTGTGGGTGTGTTTTGAGTCAACTTATAAACACTTACAAGGGCCGCCTTGAAGTTATCCTCGTAAATGTGCAGCTGGTGCGCTGCGATTAAAGCCTGTGGGTGGGGTTGTGGGGGTGCAAGGGAGTGGGTGTGGGCATGTAAGTGTGGAGGCGTGTTGTGTGCTGACTCAGAACGCACTTGAGAGGGCCCTCTTTGAAGTTATCCTCGTTCATGTGCCTCTGCTGTGCTGGTATTAACGCCTGTGGGGGCATGAGGGTGAGGTTGTGAGGGTGGGTGGGTGTATGGGGTGGTGGGTGTAGGTGAGTGCATCATGCATGTGGTTGAGGGTGTGTGACGTGACATGGGTGTGTGGCAATGGAACAGGGTAAGAAAAACAGAGTGGAAGGTAAAGTACAAGGAGAGGAGGAGACAAAGAGCACAAGTCAACCTCATCCTAGTTCAACGTCACAAGTCAACCTCATCCTAGTTCAACGTCACAAGTCAACCTCATCCTAGTTCAACGTCACAAGTCAACCTCATCCTAGTTCAACGTCACAAGTCAACCTCATCCTAGTTCAACGTCACAAGTCAACCTCATCCTAGTTCAACGTCACAAGTCAACCTCATCCTAGTTCAACGTCACAAGTCAACCTCATCCTAGTTCAACGTCACAAGTCAACCTCATCCTAGTTCAACGTCACTGCTTCACATCACGCACGCCACTGGTCCTCGAGCCATGATGAACTCTAGGTACGCCGGCCCCATTCACATCACACAGGTCACTGGTGGTCCTCGAGCTATGATTTCATGCCCGCCCCATTCCCACCCACCCCACCTTGAACTCCGACCGTTCTTTTGCACTACGAGGACTTTTGAGGTGCCTCAGAAGTCGTCAAAAGGAGCCTCAGAAGTCCTCAAAAGGCGCCTCAGAAGTCCTCAAAAGGCGCCTCAGAAGTCCTCAAAAGGCGCCTCAGAAGTCCTCAAAAGGCGCCTCAGAAGTCCTCAAAAGGCGCCTCAGAAGTCCTCAAAAGGCGCCTCAGAAGTCCTCAATAGGCGCCTCAGAAGTCCTCAAAAGGCACCTCAGAAGTCCTCAAAAGGCGCCTCAGAAGTCCTCAAAAGGCGCCTCAGAAGTCCTCAAAAGGCGCCTCAAAAGTCCTCAAAAGGCGCCTCAGAAGTCCTCAATAGGCGCCTCAGAAGACCTCAAAAGGCGCCTCAGAAGTCCTCAAAAGGCGCCTCAGAAGTCCTCAAAAGGCGTCTCAGAAGTCCTCAAAAGGCGCCTCAGAAGTCCTCAAAAGGCGCCTCAGAAGTCCTCAAAAGGCGCCTCAGAAGTCCTCAATAGGCGCCTCAGAAGTCCTCAAAAGGCACCTCAGAAGTCCTCAAAAGGCGCCTCAGAAGTCCTCAAAAGGCGCCTCAGAAGTCCTCAAAAGGCGCCTCAAAAGTCCTCAAAAGGCGCCTCAGAAGTCCTCAATAGGCGCCTCAGAAGACCTCAAAAGGCGCCTCAGAAGTCCTCAAAAGGCGCCTCAGAAGTCCTCAAAAGGCGTCTCAGAAGTCCTCAAAAGGCGCCTCAGAAGTCCTCAAAAGGCGCCTCAGAAGTCCTCAATAGGCGCCTCAGAAGTCCTCAAAAGGCGCCTCAGCTCAGAAGTCCTCAAAAGGCGCCTCAGAAGTCCTCAAAAGGCGCCTCAGAAGTCCTCAAAAGGCGCCTCAGAAGACCTCAAAAGGCGCCTCAGAAGTCCTCAAAAGGCGCCTCAGAAGTCCTCAAAAGGCGTCTCAGAAGTCCTCAAAAGGCGCCTCAGAAGTCCTCAAAAGGCGCCTCAGAAGTCCTCAATAGGCGCCTCAGAAGTCCTCAAAAGGCGCCTCAGCTCAGAAGTCCTCAAAAGGCGCCTCAGAAGTCCTCAAAAGGCGCCTCAGAAGTCCTCAAAAGGCGCCTCAGAAGTCCTCAAAAGGCGTCTCAGAAGTCCTCAAAAGGCGCCTCAGAAGTCCTCAAAAGGCGCCTCAGAAGTCCTCAATAGGCGCCTCAGAAGTCCTCAAAAGGCGCCTCAGCTCAGAAGTCCTCAAAAGGCGCCTCAGAAGTCCTCAAAAGGCGCCTCAGAAGTCCTCAAAAGGCGCCTCAGAAGTCCTCAAAAGGCGCCTCAGAAGTCCTCAATAGGCGCATCAGAAGTCCTCAAAAGGCGCCTCAGAAGTCCTCAAAAGGCGCCTCAGAAGTCCTCAAAAGGCGCCTCAGAAGTCCTCAAAAGGCGCCTCAGAAGTCCTCAAAAGGCGCCTCAGAAGTCCTCAAAAGGCGCCTCAGAAGTCCTCAAAAGGCGCCTCAGAAGTCCTCAAAAGGCGCCTCAGAGGTCCTCAAAAGGCGCCTCAGAAGTCCTCAATAGGCGCCTCAGAAGTCCTCAAAAGGCGCCTCAGAAGTCCTCAAAAGGCGCCTCAGAAGTCCTCAAAAGGCGCCTCAGAAGTCCTCAAAAGGCGCCTCAGAAGTCCTCAAAAGGCGCCTCAGAAGTCCTCAAAAGGCGCCTCAGAAGTCCTCAAAAGGCGCCTCAGAAGTCCTCAAAAGGCGCCTCAGAAGTCCTCAAAAGGCGCCTCAGAAGTCCTCAAAAGGCGCCTCAGAAGCCGACCCATTCCCACCCACCCCACCTTGAACTCCGACCGCTCTGCTGCACCACGAGGCAGCACTCGCGGCTCGCTCGCCCCTCCCTGCCCCTCCCCATCCGCTTGCATCGCCACCGGCGCCGCCTCTTCCCCTGCTGCTGCTGCTCCTCCTGCCCCTGCTTCCCCTTCCTCCCCTCTCCCTCCGCCCTGCTGCCACTGCTGTGCTGCCTGCAGCAGGATGACGGCATAAGGGATGTGCTTGTGCAGCATCGCATCCTCCATGTCCAAATCGAACCCCATCGCAAACCTGAGGCATTTATGGAGAAGGAGAGGGGAAGAGGGTGTGTGTGTGTGCAGCAAGATGGCATGGCAGCGTAGCATGCACACGCACATTCTCCTGCAGGTCGGGGCCAGTCAGGACTAGTGTGGGTCTCACTCTTTCAGCTCATTCCACGGCTTGTGCAGCCTCAAATCGTCCACTGCGTTGTCTGGCCTCTGCCCCACCTGCACCGCACTGCACCCCCCACACACACCCCTCAACCCTACCAAACCCCCAAGTCAGAGTCTCACTCTTTGAGCTCCTTCCACGGCTTGTGCAGCCTCAGATCGTCCACTGTATTGTCCGGCTTCGCCTCCACCACACAGTGCTCCTGGTTGGTGGGACGGACAGGGCACAAGGGCGGCATGTGGGTGTGCACAGCACAGGCACACGCACAGAGACAGAAGGGACGTCTTCTCAATGCTATCGACGACGCCCCTCAGGTCGTCCACCGTGTTGTCAGGCTTCACCTCCACCACACAGTGCTCCTGGGAGGGAGGAGCGTGGGCACGGGCACAAGGAAGGATGAGCACAACAACAAAAAGAGCGACTTCTCTTGCTATGGATGGGACGCGTATCAGGTCGTCCACTGTGTTGTGTTGTCTGGTTTCGCCTCCACCACACAGTGCTCCTGGGAGGGAGGAGCATGACACGGGCACAAGGAAGGATGAGCAAGGCGCAAGGGCAGCTAGTGGGTATGGGCACAAGGAAGGATGAGCAAGGCGCAAGGGCAGCTAGTGGGTATGGGCACAAGGAAGGATGAGCAAGGCGCAAGGGCAGCTAGTGGGTATGGGCACAAGGAAGGATGAGCAAGGCGCAAGGGCAGCTAGTGGGTATGGGCACAAGGAAGGATGAGCAAGGCGCAAGGGCAGCTAGTGGGTATGGGCACAAGGAAGGATGAGCAAGGCGCAAGGGCAGCTAGTGGGTATGGGCACAAGGAAGGATGAGCAAGGCGCAAGGGCAGCTAGTGGGTATGGGCACAAGGAAGGATGAGCAAGGCGCAAGGGCAGCTAGTGGGTATGGGCACAAGGAAGGATGAGCAAGGCGCAAGGGCAGCTAGTGGGTATGGGCACAAGGAAGGATGAGCAAGGCGCAAGGGCAGCTAGTGGGTATGGGCACAAGGAAGGATGAGCAAGGCGCAAGGGCAGCTAGTGGGTATGGGCACAAGGAAGGATGAGCAAGGCGCAAGGGCAGCTAGTGGGTATGGGCACAAGGAAGGATGAGCAAGGCGCAAGGGCAGCTAGTGGGTATGGGCACAAGGAAGGATGAGCAAGGCGCAAGGGCAGCTAGTGGGTATGGGCACAAGGAAGGATGAGCAAGGCGCAAGGGCAGCTAGTGGGTATGGGCACAAGGAAGGATGAGCAAGGCGCAAGGGCAGCTAGTGGGTATGGGCACAAGGAAGGATGAGCAAGGCGCAAGGGCAGCTAGTGGGTATGGGCACAAGGAAGGATGAGCAAGGCGCAAGGGCAGCTAGTGGGTATGGGCACAAGGAAGGATGAGCAAGGCGCAAGGGCAGCTAGTGGGTATGGGCACAAGGAAGGATGAGCAAGGCGCAAGGGCAGCTAGTGGGTATGGGCACAAGGAAGGATGAGCAAGGCGCAAGGGCAGCTAGTGGGTATGGGCACAAGGAAGGATGAGCAAGGCGCAAGGGCAGCTAGTGGGTATGGGCACAAGGAAGGATGAGCAAGGCGCAAGGGCAGCTAGTGGGTATGGGCACAAGGAAGGATGAGCAAGGCGCAAGGGCAGCTAGTGGGTATGGGCACAAGGAAGGATGAGCAAGGCGCAAGGGCAGCTAGTGGGTATAGGCACAAGGAAGGATGAGCAAGGCGCAAGGGCAGCTAGTGGGTATGGGCACAAGGAAGGATGAGCAAGGCGCAAGGGCAGCTAGTGGGCATGGGCACAAGCACAGCGATAGAAAAACGCCCCTCCGATCGTCCATTACACTCACCCGTCAGGCTTCAGTTCCATCCAGGGAGAGTGGCACCCTCCAAGAGCAGAAGCGCATTCGAAAAAGATGAAGGCTACTATAGCAGAAACGAGACTTACCGGAGCAACAGCGCCAGAGCAGCAGCAGAGCTTACAAGAGCAGCAACAAGATTTACCGTAGAGGAGATGCGGATGAGACCCATGAGCCCATAGGAGCGGGCCACTATGAGCTGACAGCCGTGCTGCCGACACACCGAGTCCAGCTGCAGTAGCACTGACTCCGGCAGCTGGGAGGGGAGGGTGACAGGGAATCGGAGAGCGTGGGAAGAAAAGGAATGTTTGAGAGAGGTGAATGGAGCTGTGACGAGTGAGAGAGCTGACAGCCGTGCTGCCGACACACCGAGTCCAGCTGCAGTAGCTCTGCCTCCGGTAGCTGTGCGGGGGAGGGCGAAAAGGGTGCGGTGCGGAGAGTGGGTGGGGCAGGCAGAGAACAGCGGGCACGGCACAACAGGGCTGGATGTGTGAAGCAAGAAAGGTCAGTGAGAAGGAAGCCAGAGTATAACTGCAGGGAAAGCGCACCTGGGTGGCGATGACGAGGGTGAACTCGCTGAAGAACGTGGCGTTGTTCTCCACGAGCGTGGCAGGGCTCTCCTCCATGCATTGGATTGACGAGGGTGAACTCGCTGAAGAACGTGGCGTTGTTTTACACGAGCGTGGCAGGGCTCTCCTCCATGCATTGGATTGTTTGACTCTTGAATCACCTCGGCAATGCGCACCTGGGTGGCGATGACGAGGGTGAACTCGCTGAAGAACGTGGCGTTGTTTTCCACGAGCGTGGCAGGGCTCTCCTCCATGCATTGGATTGTTTGACTCTTGAATCACCTCGGCAATGCGCACCTGGGTGGCGATGACGAGGGTGAACTCGCTGAAGAACGTGGCGTTGTTTTCCACGAGCGTGGCAGGGCTCTCCTCCATGCATTGGATTGTTTGACTCTTGAATCACCTCGGCAATGCGCACCTGGGTGGCGATGACAAAAGTGAACTCGCTGAAGAACGTGGCGTTGTTTTCCACGAGCGTGGCAGGGCTCTCCTCCATGCATTGGATTGTTTGACTCTTGAATCACCTCGGCAATGCGCACCTGGGTGGCGATGACAAGAGTGAACTCGCTGAAGAACGTGGCGTTGTCTTGAATGAGCGTGGCTGGGCTCTCCTCCACGAACCTCGCCGCCACACTCTCGTTCAGCTCCTGCAGCAGCGCTGTCACCGCCTGCGCTCGTGACGTGCCCAGGTGGGTGCGGTCCACTGAATAGTACATGCCATGCAGAGAGTAGGAAAGGGGAGAAGAGGAGGAGTCGATTCTCTCGGCTCCTGCAGCAGCGCTATCACCGCCTGCGCTCGTGACGTGCCCAGGTGGGTGCGGTCCACTGAATAGTACATGCCATGCAGAGAGTAGGAAAGAAGAGAAGAGGAGGAGTCGATTCTCTCGGCTCCTGCAGCAGCGCTGTCACCGCCTGCGCTCGTGACGTGCCCAGGTGGGTGCGGTCCACTGAATAGTACATGCCATGCAGAGAGTAGGAAAGGGGAGAAGAGGAGGAGTCGATTCTCTCGGCTCCTGCAGCAGCGCTGTCACCGCCTGCGCTCGTGACGTGACCAGGTGGGTGCGATCCACTGAGTAATAGGCACAATACAGAAGTAGGAAAATCGGGACGAGGAGGAAAGGAGGGGTACGTTTTGTCAGCTCCTGCAGCAGCGCTGTCACCGCCTGTGCTCGCGATGTGCCTCATAGGTAGATCTGGGTGAAGATGCATGCAAAACATGATGTATCTCCGGATTCGCATTGATTCACAATGCCAACTTGCCTTAGAGTTAGTATGCTAGCACGCAAGGACGCTACGCTAGCACGCCACATCACACCAACACCGATGCCCAACACATTTCCCTTTTGTACTGCCTTGAAGCTAGCATGCCACGCCACAGCACCCCAGCTTTCTCGTTTTTTTCTCTGTTTTAGCGAGCGAGCCATGCTGCCTTTCAAATGCATGACTCGCTCGCTAAAATGGAAAAGAAACCAGGAAAACTGGTGTGATGTGGCGTGGCATGCTAATGTCATGGCAATACGAGAGAGAATTGTGTTGGCATCAGTGTTGGTGTGATGTGCGAGCAAGCGTGCTTGCGTGCTAGCGTACTAACTCCAAGGCAGAACGTGAATCAAGGCGAATCCAGCAAGACATCAAGGTGAATCAGGAAGAAATAACTCCACCACCACTCACAACCCACCAAACACACTGAGCGCGACTCACGGAAGTTGTTGTTCCCAGGTCATGCGCCTCCACAGTGGCGCCATCCACTTCATTGAGTGCGCGCTCACAGTATCATCTCCACCACTCACCACCCATGCGAACCGCCAGGACTCACGGAAGTAGTTGTTCCCCAAATCGTGGGCCTCCACAGTGGCGCCATCCACGACGGTGAAGGAGCCTATCCCTCCCAGCACCAAATTCTTTAAAGCTTCCGTGCCCGTCGGCCCTGCTGTCAGCAGACACACGCGCGCCTGCTCCAACGCCCTCTGCCCGTGCTCGCCCCATATCCTGTAAATGGCAAAACAAGACAAGGCATGGCTTAGGTGGATGAACGCACACTCCCTCCTATCCCTCCCAGCACCAGGTTCTTCAGCGCCTCCGTGCCTGTGGGTCCTGCTGTCAGCAGGCACACGCGCGCCTGCTCCAGCGCTCGCTGCCCGTGCTCGCCCCATATCCTGAACAGCGGGAGCGGGTGGAGCCGAGATTTTGGTGAGATGGATCACCAGCATATACCGTGTTGCCCAAGCAGTTTCCATGTCTCGTGAAAACGAGCTACGGAGTTGACAAGGGAGGTGATTTGTGAAGCCTTTGGCTGAGTACTCCAAGCGAGTCGCACACAGCATACGGGTGAATTCTCCGCGAATATCCTCGCGAAAATCTACCCAATGCTTCGTAACTAGCAAAGCACTCGTCACGCAATGATGGCTGGACACCTCGAAAAGTGGTAACAAGTTGCGCACGTAACCAATGTGACATTGCTTCGACCGCTCATTCCAGACCGTGCGATCTCGCCTCTCACCTCAGCTGTCGATCGTACTTCTGCGAGTTCAGGACCAACAACGAAGTACTCGTTATGGACTGATTCGCGTCCCTGCTTTATTCACAGTCTGGCGACCCGTGCTACTCACCTCAACTGTCGGTCGTACTTCTGCGAGTTTTGGATCGCCACCATCGCGGCGCGCGATGCGGAGAGCTACCGAAAACGAGGGAGAAATGTGACCGTTGCTGGCTAGGATTCCTGGTGAGGGGGAAATTGCTGTCAGATGGCTGGAATTCAGGCACGTGGGATGGGTGGAAAAGAGCTTGTCAGATTCGTCCGATATACTGCTCTTCGTTGACAACATAGGCTATTCAATCAGTTCTTCGTGTAGCATTGTAAGAGGGTCGCTTGTCTTTTATCGGAGCAGAGCCATCCAAGTAACGAGTACAAAGTGTCTGGGTCCCTCGAGCCTCGTCGCATTTCCCTATTCCGAAAATTTCCTCGTCCTCCCGTTTCCTCTTTCATTCCTCTAGAATCACATTGCCAGTTCAACCCATCACTTACCTTGGTCCCTCGATCTTTACAGCTTCTCTTCTCTTTCACATAATCCGTCAGTTTGAGAACGAAACGTCTCGATACGCCGTCGCGACCGTCTTGTGCACCGTCAATCGCAAGTAGGATGCGCCATGGCCGCGGTCCCTATCGCCTCCCACCATGCCATCCTTCGGAACGAACAAAACCTTGTCACTGTTCTTACCGAGTCGCTCCACATCAGAGCCTTTCATACTTCACACCCACCCTCTCACGCGCGCCGCTCCACGTCATCCTCCTCATCATCGGCGCGCTTCTCTCTTCTTCCTCGCTTCCCGGCTCGCGCACTCTCGACGCCGCTGCTCCGCGCCTCGCGGTAGCGCAAGGCGGCGAAGCCGCGTCGCTGAAAGCCGCGTTCCTCGTTGAAACGTGGTCGGAAGCGTACGGGCTGGGCGGAGACTCCGTGCTCCCCCCTTCCGCCGTCTCCCTCCCCGCGGGCGTGCCCGCTGCGCCGCACCTGGAGGACTGCGCGCTAGTGAGCGCGGAGAGGGAGGCGTGGGAGCGGAGAGGCGCGCGGGGAGAGGAGCCCGCGTGGACGCGGGGAGCTCCAAGGAAGGCGCAGGCTGCTGCTGCTTCTGGTGATGGTGCTGGTGCTTTCCATGGGTGTTCCGGACAGGAGCAGGGGGAGGGGGTCCCGCAGCCGCCATGGGTAAGCGGATGAAGAGGATGGTCCAGTGATGAATTTGCTAGGTAGGGCTGCTGCTGTTGCTGCTGTTTTCCCTGGCTGCTCGGAAGTGCAGTGGGAGGGGGTTCTGCAACCTCCTTGTAGAGAAGGGGCTAAGACTGTTCTTACTGAAGCATTGAGGCATCTTGGACGGTAATCTGGGACACTATTTTTCAGTGCTGGTTGGGGTACTACTCGGTGTTGCTGTTGTTCGTTGCCCGATTTGCGCCTGATTGCAGTCTCACTGTCCTGTCACTGTCAGTGCTGTAAGATATTGAAGACATGATGAGGAAAGTCAGGCTTTAACTTCAAGAGCTTCGCCTTGCTCCATCCTTCATCCCCACCACATTCCCACCACATCCCCACCACATTCCCACCACATCCCCACCACATCCCCACCACATCCCCACCACATCCCCACCACATCCCCACCACATCCCCACCACATCCCCACCACATCCCCACCACATTCCCTCCACATCCCCACCACATCCCCACCACATCCCCACCACATCCCCACCACATCCCCACCACATCCCCACCACCCAGATCAGAGGGCCGGATGAAGCCAATCTGCCGCTGACACGTGTCGTGCAGAGGGACATCTGGCGGAGCCAGTTCCCCCCCGGGGATTGCACGGACAGGCGGCTCCTTGTTGCCCACTGGGCCAAATCCACGTCGCATGGCGTTGGCTCCCAGGTGATTGCTCTTGCATGGGTGTGGTGTGGCGTGTCATGTGGTGTGGTGCGGTGTGGTGCGGTGTGTGTACTCTAGCACATGTGAGTCGACTCCTGAGTGTGGCCATGCGCCACAACCGCACCCTCGTGGCTATACGTGTGTGTGCCCTCTCTGGTGCACTACTGAGCACACTGTTATGTGTGTTGAAGCCTCACCCCTTACAACCCACGCACCAGATCCACTACCTGAGCGCACTGCTGAGTGTGGCCATGCGCCACAACCGCACGCTCATGTGCATGTCTGTGTGTGTCCTCTCATGTGCACTGCTTTAGAGGCTCTTATGTGTATCAAGCCTCACTCCACACCCCCCACCCCCCACGCACCAGATCCACTACATGAGTGCACTGCTGAGTGTGGCCATGCGCCACAACCGCACGCTCGTTGCTCAACCCGACAGCTTCGACCGCGCTCGCACGCCCTCCTGTGAAGGTCGGTGCATGGTATGGCGCATGGCATGGTATGGCACATGCACGGTGTGTGGCATGGCATGGCATGACATGGCATGGGATGGTGCATGACATGTTGCATAGCGTGCTGCATGGGTGTGTGTGTGGTAGTTGGTTTGCACATGCCACCAGAGTTACAAATTGAAGGGTTGGCAGAGGGGTGCTCTTACTGCTCAGTCAGTCCCCTATCACCACCTTGTGTCATCATCCCCTGCATAAGCCAACAATGTGCTTCTTCTCTTCTCTGTTGCCTCTTATGCCTTTTCTAAAAACTTACCCTCTCTTCCCTTCCCCCACACCCGCCCACACCCACCCCTCCCCGCCTCGATTCCTTCCCCTTCGTCCCTCCGTCTTCCCCCCCCCCTCTCCCCCTCGCCCAACCCCCCCCTCCGGGTCTGTTCCCCGTCCCCGCAATCTAAGCTGCGGGTCACAACAGCCAATGGGAGTGCTTCTTCTTCCCGCCCGCCTCGTCAGCGTGCCGCCACGTCATCCAACAGGCGCTGATGCAGAACCTTGAGAAGATTCCCTGGGCGAAGGAAGATCCTGCTGACGTGGCAGCGGGGGACGATCCGATCGTCATCGTTGGATACACCAACCCAACGATGCTCTTCATGGAAGCCGGAGCGGTAGAGTGCGTGCTCAAACAAGCTCAAACAAGCTCTGATCCTTGTGCTAGCAGGAATGTATCGTGCTGCTCTTCCTCATGTGCGGAAACCCCCAGGAACCTGGGTTTTGCGTTCATGTAGCGCTTGTATCGCCAACCCGACGATGCTCTGCTCTTCATGGAAGCCGGAGCGGCAGTGTGCGTTCTGAACTGTACGACCGCTCAAATTTCAGTTGCATATGTATTTAAACATCTAAAAACTTCAAAAGCACGTCGCATCACTCATAGTTGAGTCATTCCAAAATCCTTCTTTGCAGACTCTCTCCTGACCTCGCCCTGCACTTAGGACAACAGATTCTCTTCCCTCCATTTCCCCGTTTCCCCTCCTCCTCCGCGCTTCCTTCCTCCCTGCCCCTCCCCTTCAGCCTCTGGGGTGACGCCTTTCTGGCCTCTCCCTGCACTGTTCAGATGGATGGCAAACTCACTCCCCTCTTGTCGCCGTTTTTGTTTTACCTCCGTTCTTCCTCCCTCCCCCTCGCCTTGACCCCTCGCCTTCAGCCTCTGGGGTGACACCTACCTGGCCTCGCCTTGCACTGTGCAGCTGAACGGCAAACTCGCAGCTCTTTCTGGACCTCAACGCAAGGTAGTAAGCTGCCTTTTGCACTGCAACCAGATTGATGGAACAGGTCAATTATGAAACACACTGGATGCGCCCGCCACCAGCCACTCACTGCTGTCACACTACCAACCCCACACGCACACCTGCCCCTATGCCAACACAACCACCATTTCGTCCCCATGGAGTGCAGGAGAGAGACGTGTTGCGCTGCATGCTGCAGTCGTATCACGCGGAGGAGCAGGTGGTGCTGGCAGGTGCACTGGTGGCGGGCATAGGCAGTGCAATTCATCATGCAAAGGAGCAGGTGGTGAGAGAGTGCGCCACCACATGCTCCTCCGCGTGATGCGACTGTAGCATGCAACGCAGCAAGTTCCTCTCCTGCACACCATGGGGACGAAATGGTGGCCGTGTTGGCATGGGGGCATGTGCGCGTGTGGGGTTGAGAGTGTGACAGCAGTGAGTGGCTGGTGGTGGACACACCCAGTGTGTTTCATATATGCCTTGTTGCCATGCCTTCCTCTCTATCCTCTCCCCTTCCCCCTTCTCCATGCCCCAAGGTGCACTGGTGGTGGGTGCAGGCTATGCGCTTCAGCCTGATTTGTTCTCGTGAGCTGTCCCCTTTATCTTTCCCCCTGGTTCTTCCACCCCTCATGCCTCCAGGTGCACTGGTGGCGGGCGCAGGCGGTGCGATTCATCATGCGGTGGCCGTCGGCGCATCTCTGCCATGTCACCAACCAGGAGAGGCACCGCGCCTTCGCCATGCTCGCAGCCAATCTCGTCGCTCGCTTCCTGCACACCCAATCAGAAACCCTCTCCTCCCTCTCTCACAGCACCGCCCCTGCTGCTGCCGCCTTTGCCGCTGCCGC